CGACCAATTTGGAAGCCCTCGGGCCGTTCCACTTTTCTTTTCTTCTCTAGTCTTTTTTCTTTTTCCCTCTATATACTTCTTTTTCTCTTCTTTTTTCCACTGCTTCTCTTTTAACGTGGTTTCACCACCGCCAACCACTGCCGACGCCATCATCACCACTACCATACACTTCGCGCACCACACCCTGCCAATTTTCCGAGAGCCGAGCTTTTTCCTTTCTCTCTCTCTCTCTCTCTCTCTCTCTCTCTCTCTCTCTCTCTCTCTCTCTGGCTCTGTACAGCCGGGCAACAAAGTTACTTCGATCCTGCCACGGATGGGGATGTATAGAGCTTCGATAAGATCTTATTTCGTTCTCTCTAGTGTTTTTTTCTCTCCTCTCTCTCTCTCCTCCTCCTCGTTGCTCTCATTTTGAGCCTCTTTCTCGCTCGCAATAGAGACGGAATGTATCGTCCTCTTTTTTAATTTTCGACCTGAACTTTGACTCTAACCGTCTAGCCTTGAGGTATATCTTCGGTGGTAAAGCTTCGTAGAGTTTCACAGGAACAGCTTGGAAAAATTTAATTATATCTTTTGGTCTATCGCAATTCATTCATCTAGTTTTATATCTATTTCTTTAGCGAGTATAAGATTTTATTTCTAGCTGTTATGATTGAATTTCAAAAGAGATCTTTAAAAAAAATCAAATTAAAGATTAAACAAAGTGAATCTAACTGTCAAAAGCAGAGGTAAAAGAAAAGAATGCCTATACCCGTGTAAATCCCCGAGCTGCAAGCGCGTGTGAGCCCGAATTTAATAATAGAATTTTATAATTGAACCAAATGAATATGAAAATCGAAAGCCCTTTAATTACATCGGATGGGCGATCGCGAACGAGCCCACCCAACAAAAAAAAACGAAGATAATCCAATTAAATTTCCATTCGTCCAAAATTACAAAATTAAGCCAGCCGTCAAAAGCTCTATAATGTATTAAAAAGCCCTCTCGGCCGACGTATGCATATAGGTGTGCGCAGGTGCGTCTGCGCAACAACTATTCTGCACCGCACACGTGTGTACTTCATACGTAGTACAATACCCCTTGCGCGCGCGCGCTCGCCTACAAACAATGGTGCTTTTTTTCATTTTCATTAGCGAGACGCGCGCGGCGCGGCTTGAAACAACAAAATTAAAAAAAAAAAAAGAGAAGAAAAAAAGCGCAGAGCGTGGCGGGACGGCTCTCGAGAGCGGTTATCTCTCCCCACCCTCGACTCGATGGGATCGGTATAACGCACGCTTCGTCAACGACGAAATTGCAATGAAAAATTTTTTCGACCAGCCCATCATGGTACACGCGCGGGCGTTTATATATATTCCCGTCTGCGCTCTCACTTTATTCGAGCGCGTGCCCATCGCGTCATTTTCGTTTAATCGACTTTGAAGTATCCTCTTAGGGTCGCGGAGGGGGGCACTGCGGCCGTTGCGACGAGGTTTAACGAAAAAATGAATAAATCGCAGATTCGTCAAATCCCCTTCTGCTGCTGCTGTTACAGTTGCTTCTGTGCGTTTTAGGTGCAGCCTACGGAATAAAAAAAAATATCGCGCCCGGCTGGTAAAATTTCGTAAAATTTTTTCCGCAAAATTGAAGACACGAGGTCATAATGTAAAATATCTGTCCGATTATTTTAAGACACTCACTTTCATTATGCAAATTTGAGGGTATATAGAAGCAAGCCCAAAAAGTCAAGATTACAATCCTGAAGCTTCTACTGAATATTCCTTCAAAAGGCTTATTATGGTGCTCTTAAGAACATCGAAATGAAAGTAACCATAGAGCCTTTTGGAAGAATATTCAGTAGAAGTTTCAGAAAATGGGATTGAAATTTTGATTACTGGGCCCGTTTCTATATCCCCTCAAGTGTATCATATTGTCAAGGATATCGATTCATTCATAAGGGAATGTACTAAAAAGTATAATAGTTATTGCCGAGTGCAAAAAGTGCTGTCAACAACACAACATAAATTATTAAAGAACCACAGGATAGAAACTTTCAAGTTGACTTTTTGATTTTTAGATTGATTTTTCAAAAATAAACGCCTACTTCACTAGAGAAACAATAAATTTAAAAAATGAGATTATTTATTATTAATTAATATTTAATAATCATATATTAAATTTTATTATGTTTCAGATCAACATGGACTTCAGTAAAATAAATGCGTCGGCATTTTCCAGCCAATATCCACCAACACGCCCTGCCCGTGAGCTCGACCAAACGGTCGACCACATGGTTGGGAAAATCACGAAGCAGAGGACGAGGAACCAGGGCTACAAGGTAGTCATGGAGCTGAAATACATCGATGCTCCAACAATCGGAGTATGGTTGAAGGACAACTTGTGTCAATTTTTTAAACAATTTTTTTGCAATACAGATTATATGCATATTGGATAAGGAGAAACACGTGATATATTATCGAGCTCTAAAGCAATCTGCAGAAAACGACCTGATGGTAAAAAAAATCCATAGAATTCTCAAATTTAATCAGAGTTCATGGCTTAAGAAATAAATTGATATGAATACAGATAGAAGAAAATATTTCCAAACATGCAGTTTATAAATTTCATTATGATTTCATGTTAAAACAAATTGGAAATGATAAATGTAAGCTACTCTATACAGATACAGACAGTCTCATTTATCAGATATATTATTAAAATATATATAAATTTAACCAAGTGCCTGGTGCTTTCTGTCTCTTCCATGGTCATCCAGCCGATGCCAATTTTTATTAGCCAATCCAGATGAACTGGACAAATTTAACGAGACACGAAAATAATTATTTCGAAAGAAGATTTGTACAGAAAAGTACAATTGCGAAAAATTAAAATGAACATAGTATTCATATGGAGAACAGCTGTTCGTGCCCATCTGATTTATCACACAATATTTATCAACATTTCTCCTACATTTCCTCACTTTGTAGCAAGAAAACGTAAAACAAATGTTCATAAATATTGTGCCATACCCTCAACGATAATCTCAAACACATGAGAATATCTCGGTACACCTTTAGAGATGCCGAAAAAACACGAAAAACGAGCTGGATCAACGTTATCTCGTTTTCCGACTAAGCCGATCTTGGTCTCGCCAACTGCCTCGCTTAAAGCCGAGACAGAGAGAGCCCGCGTGGAGAAGGTCCCCACACAGGACTGCACCCGTTTATAGAGTGAGCCCGCCATTCGCTCGAGCTTATCCAACTCGTTTTACGGAGTGGGCTCCCATTCGCGTCGCATGCGCCCGTTCATAGAGCGAGCCATTCGTACACGACCTTCTCGGGCGCGGAAAACTCCCTGTGACTCTTTTTTTTTGAGACAGCGGCAATTAAGCCCCCTCACCCGTCTAGAAGTGTGGCCCAGACTACGACAAGGTGTCGGCTCGTTCGAGGAGGTGTGCTTTCGACGATACCGAAGTATCGCGAAAGCGGAAAGCGGAGCACCCAATGTAGGAAATAAAAGTGATAACGTTACAATTGGGTGGGAGGGAATAAATTAATTTTGCCAATAGTAAAATCTCCGAGAGATTTTTGAGGTTCGATTCAATGCTTAGTTACATCGAATCTAAGAAAATTTACTGGAAAGTTTGAGAGAAATTCAGTTCACAAAATGAGGTCTTTGTTGGGATCGTTCATAAGAACAAATCGATAAAATCGAAAAATTATACGACCGAGTTTTGAGCCTCGCGAACAGAAGGAGAAGAAGATTGGCTTTAATTGCACTCTTATCGATATGTTTGATATTTTTAGCGCAAATATTAAGAAAGGCGAGTCTGCCTCCGGGAGAGTCATTTGTATTCTGTGATATGAACCTCTAGGGTCGTTATATAGTTAAGCACAAATTGAACTGCAAGGTAAAAAAGTGACTTCGAATAATATCATCAGTTTAAACCAATCTACATCAACTCGAAATTATTCTATCCAGATATAGGTTCTTTAATAATTATGTAATGCCTTTGCAAAGCGCCTTTATCTATATTTTAATAAACAATTTAGTTAGTTTAGATTTAAACGGTTCTACCATACGAATTCAAATGATGCGCGTACGCGTAATGCTCCCTCGCGTACACATAGGGATGGGCAAAATTTCAATCTCGACGCGCAGTAAATCAAAAGCTAAAAAGAGAGAGGGAGGTAAATCGTCGCTTACTGCTCTCGACTCGCGCGAGAAGATTACGAAACGAAAGTGGCGCGCGTTATGTGCCGCAAGAAGAAGAAGAAGTAGCAGCAGCAGCCACCACCGCAAGCCCCCCATTAGAAAGAAGAAGAAGAAACTCCTTCGGAGAAGACTTCCACAACGGGACTGCAAAAGACCTAATGCCTCTCGTGGAATTAGAGGTAGTCAAAGAGATAGCCCAGAGATACAACAAGAGCCCAGAAAGACCTAATGCCTCTAGTGGAATTAGAGGTAGTCAAAGAGATAGCCCAGAGATACAACAAGAGCCCAGCACAGATCTTGCTGAGACACCTGGTGCAAGCCGGTCGAGCCGTCACACCCAAGAGCGCTGATACTCAACGTCAAAGGGAGAACTTGGACATATTCGATTTTAGACTTGACATAAAGGACGTGTTAAGATTGAATAGTCTGGATAAAGGCGCCCGCGTAAAAATCGAAAAGTTTCGCTTAAGGTATCCCAAACTTTGTCTTCGGGCGAAACCTGCCAAAACCTTGGCGCAGGAGACTGCCCCAAACTACAACTCCAGGTTTTTGTAGTTTCATTCATTTTTCTCCAAAACTTTGGGCCAAATTTTGAAAAATTGATCCCAAACTTTGCGGAAATGATGGCGTAAATACGGCACAATTAAGGCAAAATTACGGCCAAACTATGGCCAAATTATAGCGCAATTAGCGCAAATATATTTTTTTAAATTAAATATGTTAATTCGATCAATAAATGAAAAACAATGCCTTCATGTAGAAAGCAACAATGGGAACAAAAAAGTGGCAAAACTTTTGGCAAAAATCAATAATTAAATTCTCAATATTTTTCCAGCTGGCTCGTCGCTGTCATCTTCAGAATTATCCCTCTTTTTTTTTTTGTCTCCATGACCATCTCGTGGATTTCTCAGAGTTGCGCACATAGATGTCATTACTGTACGGAACTCCCTTGGAGAAATCTTGTATTTTTTCTTGGAAGCGTTGTCGTTAATGTATCCTGAAAAAAAGAACATGCAGACGTGGCTTAATAAAGCTATCGATTAATATATATTGTATAAATAAATAAATAAATATATATAAATATATTAAAAGCAAAGTAAGCCCCGGAGCATCAATATATTTTCAATATATGTCAATCGAAAGTTTGAAATATATATATTATAAAAGCAAAGCGAGGCCTGGCGCGTTATGATAGGTAGAAAAAAGTATTGAGAATTTAAAAAATTTACAGACACGATATGCAGTCGAAAGTTTAAAATGGAGGTTACTTACGTAGTACAGAAAAGTAAATGTTTTCGGGGATGGCCTGTCTCCCATTTCTCCCTGTCGGAGTGCTTTCGCGGAGCACCTCTTCGGGAATAATCATTTTCATGACTTGTCTAGCTAATGCCCGTGGCTTCCTGTAGTTCATCTGGTATACGTTGTCCAACTTCAATTCCTCGAGCCAAATATTTGAGCCTGGAATCAATTCGGTCATCTGAAATGAACAAATGTAAAAATCGTACGTAAGCGGGTCGTCGACGTAGATTATCACTGATTTTACGCTACCATTTTTAAAGACGAAGTCAAATTAAATTTTGCACTGAGAAAAGTTGTTATCTTAATATTTTTATGTCAATGACATGAACGTCGTTACATCAATGTACAATGTACATTCGTCGTCCAGTTCATGTCGTCGACAAGAGAATATCGAGTCAACTATATAATCGCGTCAACTATATAGTCGCGTTAACTATCAAAAAGTAGAAAATTAATGAAATTGAAAATTATTTTTACAAGAACTTACCTTTGCGCTTGAGCAAGATTTTTCAGTACGCAAATGAGAAGTGCGTGGGTTCGATGATCGGTTTCTTAACATTTGCACAATTCTAAGAAACTTCGATGTCTCTTGTTCGGTAACTATATAAAAAATAATATGTACTATTAAATAACTTAGATATGTAATATTTTTTAATTAAATAATTTCTTACGATTAGGCAGTTCTGAACATAGGCATTGATTTTTTGTTTCGACCAATTTTGATTTATTTTCATGTTTTGACCTCTGAATTTCCGATTCACTTTCAGATAAACTAAAAATTGGGCTTTAAGGTGATATTGGTATAAAAATTGTTATGATAAGAAAAACGTTTACCACGAAAAATACACCACTGACACATTATACACCTTAGGTTAAAAAAGCACACATACATTTTGAGCATAGCTTACTTGGACGATTCGTTGAATGGAGAGTGAATAGCGGCTTCCTTACCATCGTCTCCATCCGATTGACTCAAAGAAGAGAAAGAGCCATAAAGTGACTTGATCGAATTATCACCATGCTTAGACTTGACTGATTTATGTTGTATATATTTGGGTGAAAGCCCACCGCTTGCCGAGGATAAATACTTTTTGTCGTGTTCAGATGTTCTCCCATTGCTGAAAAACAGAAATTATAATTTATTATTGTGAGACACGTAAGCGAAAAGGAGTCTGCTTGGGCTTTAAGGCGATATTATTATAAAAATTGTTATGATTAGCAAAATATGTACCACGAAAATACATCACGACGCTTGGTACATGACAGGTAAAAAAAAAGCTTACTTTGACATTTTGCCTGATGGATAGTAAATGGCATTTCTATTTGTCTCATCTCTCTCCAATCGCCTTGAAGAATAACAGTCGGAAACGGACTTTTTTGTTTTCTCATTGCGCTTCGTTTCGATTGACTTGTGCTGCGTAGATTTGGGTGAAAGCACACTGCTTGCCGAGAATGAATACTTTTTGTCGTGTTTAGATCTCTCTTTACTGAAAAATTATAAATTATGTTTTATTATGGCGAGACACGTATGCAACATAGTATGTACCTATGAGGCGATATTATCATAAAAATTTTTATGATAAGCAAAACGTGTATTACGAATGTACAGGTAAAACGAATAATGCACCGCAGGTCAAAGAAATGATACATAAATGTAAAGAAAAGCTTACTTTGACATATCGACAGATGGTGGGTAATTATCATCTCTCTCCGATCGTCTTGGCAAAGATGAACCCGAAATAGATTTTTTTGCTTTTTCGTCTTGCTCAGGATCGATTGACTTTAGCTGCATAGATTTGGGTGAAAGCACACCGCTGGCCGAGTATGAATTCCCTTTGTCGTATTTAGATCTCACTCTGCTGATAAAACATAAATTTTAATTCATTATTGCGAGACACGTATGCGACATGGTGTCTACTTGGGCTTTCAGGAGATGGTAGAAAAATTGTTATGATGAGCAAAATATGTACCACGAAAATACATGCACGACGCTTAGTATACCGCAGGTTAAAAAAAAAGCTTACTTTGAGATTTCGTCCGAAGAAGAGTAAATAGCATTTCTGTTTGCTTCCTCTCTCTCCAATCGTCTTGAAGAATCAGAGTCGGAAACGGACTTTTTTGTTTTCTCATTGCGCTTAGTTTCGATTGACTTGTGCTGCGTAGATTTGGGTGAAAGCACACTGCTTGCCGAAGATGTATACTTTTTGTCGTGTTTAGATCTCCCTTTACTGAAAAATTATAAATTATGTTTTATTATGACGAGACACGTAGATATGCACACGCGTATGCGACAAGGTATGTACTTTGGCTTTGAGGCGATATTGGTATAAAAATTGTGATGATAAGCAAAACGTGTATCACGAAAATTACACCATCGACACATTATATACCGCAGGTTAAAGAAGCACTCATATATTTTGAAAATAACTTACTTGGACAAAACCTTGGATGGAGAGTGATTATCGGCTTCCTTACTATAGTCTTTGTCAAATTGATTTAAAGGGGAAGAAGAGCCAAAAATTGCCTTCATCAAATCATCGCGATGCTTGGATTTGACTGATTTATGCTGCATAGATTTGGGAGAAAGCACACCGCTGGCCGAGTATGAATTCTCTTTGTCATGTTTAGATCTTCCTTTACTAAAAAATCATAAATTATGGTTTATTATCGCGAGATGCGTAGATATGCACACGCGTATGCTACAAGGTGTGTACTTTGGCTTTGAGGCGATATTGGTATAAAAATTGTGATGATAAGCAAAACGTGTATCACGAAAATTACACCATCGACACATTATATACCGCAGGTTAAAAAAGCACACATATATTTTGAGAATAACTTACTTGGACAAATCCTTGGTTGGAGAGTGATGATCGGCTTTCTTACCATTGTCTCTGTCAAATTGATTTAAAGAGGAAGAAGAGCCAAAAATTGCCTTCATCAAGTCATCGCCATGCTTAGATTTGACTGATTTATGCTGCATAGATTTGGGAGAAAGCACACCGCTGGCCGAGTATGAATTCTCTTTGTCATGTTTAGATCTCCCTCTACTGAAAAATCATAAATTATGGTTTATTATCGCGAGACATGTAGATATGCACACGCGTCAGTAACAAAGTATGTGCTTAACCTAAAAGGCGATATTATTATAAAAATTACTATGGTGAGTTAAACGAGTAATATGAATGCACAAGCACCAACGTATAATGAACCGTGGATTAAAAAAAAATACATATATGTTGAGAAAATTTTACTTTACATGTCAACTGATGCTGATTTCCCTGCCTTCTCTTTCTCCGATTCTTTGGGTGAAAAAGAACCGAAAATCGAGTTCTTCGTGAGCAATTTTTCATTTAATTCTCTCTCCGTGGCGTTTCTTAAAATTGTGGCCTCTCGTTTTTCTCGCCTGCTTTCTGTTTTTCTTTTCAGCAGTGGTGTGTTATTTTTTTTCTTTATATTTTCCGGCGTAACGATCTCTCCATCTTCGGTGACGTCTAAGCTCTGTAGCCACTCTTTGTTTTCTGAATAAGATGAAATTAATATTAAAAATAGATAATATGCATCGTCAGATTACAAATGTAATAATGAGTTGCAAGCAACGTAGGTTATGAACGATACAAAAATGAAAGGTACTCACCGCTTTCCAACAAAACTTTGGCCGAATACCATTTATTCTCCCATTTCACGTACGTTTTCCCGCGTGAAGTTTTTAAATGCTTTTCATCGACTACGTCGATTTGTCGACTATCCGTGTAAATGACTAAAGAAAACATTTTATTATTTAAGTGTCTTCGAGAAAATTGATGGAGACCGTGCTTTCTTCAGCTTGACAAGCGCGAATGCAGTCACAGCTAAACGTAAACAAAACTCCAACCTCACTTTTTTTATACTTGAAAAAAAAACCTATCGACGTCACCTCGCTGTGAAAAAATGTCACGAGAATTGAATTATTTAAGCAAGTTTTCGCGATCATATCGGTACAAATTGAGAAAAAGGAACCTAATCTCGAGTGATGCTGACAGCAGCAGTAGCAACAGCAGCAGTCGAACTAGCCGCGGTGGTAGCAGCAGTAGCAGCAGCAGCAGCAGCAGCAGCAGCAGCAGCAGCAGTAACAACAATGACCGCTTGCGTAGGGCGCGCGTACAAAACTACAGAAATCGAAAGCGTAATTGCGGTCGTATGCGTCGTAATAATGAGATTTATCATCAAGGTCAGTATTTTGCGCGTGCACACGTATCTGAAGTGTTGCATGTATGTCATTCAAACTATTCGTTTAGGGGGTGAAGAGAACGTTCTGTCTCAGTCAGACTTCGATGCCGATTTAGAAGCAGATGATGAATACACATCTAGTCTCAGCTCCGAAGACGAATATTCTACTAATTCAAGCTCCGACGATGGCGATGACTCTTCTATCTCAAATTCTTGTAGCGACTCTACCGATTCGAGCTCTGACTTTGATGAAGAATTGATAGAAAACGCCGATCAGAGCTTGTACCCAGGAGCACCGATCACCGTAGCTGAAAGCGTTATATCTATACTTTCACTTACAGGGAGGTATGATATAAATGGATCATTATTATCGAGTATTTTATCGATAATAGAATTGCACTGCATAAAACCGAACTATTGCGTTACAACTCTATACAAAATGAAAAAATTTTTTTCAAAAATTGAAACACCAGTTATACGACATTTATATTGTATCAACTGTTCATCGCCACTAGAACAACATTTTTGTATCAAATGTAATTCGGACAAGGGTGTTAATTATTTCATCGAACTTTCAATTATTGATCAACTCAAAAGTATGTTTAAACGCTCAGGATTTTTGGAAAAATTAACTCATCGTTTCACACGTACTAAATCAGATGAGTTAAATTATGAAGATATCTATGATGGACTAGTGTATAAATCTCTACCAGATGATTTTACAGACAATCCAAACAATATTACATTTACTTGGAACTCGGATGGATTTCCGCTCTTCAAATCATCCAAGTTTAGCGTTTGGCCTGTTTATCTGATGATCAACGAGCTTCCGTATCAGGACCGCATTCAAAAGAAAAATAATATTGTCGCTGGCTTGTGGTGTGGAACTAGTAAACCATTGGTGAATTTATTTATTTCACCTTTCGAACAGGAATTGCAACAATTGTACAGTGGCGTTAATTTTCAAGTACCAAATGAGCCTGGAATAGTTAAAGTACGCGGTTTAATAGCATGTGGCACATGCGATTTACCTGCAAAGGCTCTATTTCTCAATATTCATCAATATAACGGTAAATACGGTTGTCCTTCATGTGAAATAAGAACCGAAAGAATTGAGAAAGTACAAACGTACCCGTACGTGGATAACTTGATCCTAAGAACAACAAATACAACGAACGAGTATGCTGAACGAGCTGTAACATCACGGAAGCCTGTGTTTGGTGTCAAAGGTCCAAGTTTTCTGAACATAATAGTGTACGATTTTATATTTGCAATGTCTATTGATCAAATGCACAATATTTTCCAAGGCGTAATGAAGAAACTATTATCGCTATGGTTTGATCCGGAAAATCGAAATTATGCATTTTCACTATTCGAATCGGCACACATAGTAGATGATATTATTAAAAAACTAACTCCACCATCCCACGTGAACCGATTACCAAGAACAATAAATGATTACAAATTCTGGAAGGCAAGCGGTGAGTACTTTTCATTATTGTATTTGTATTCTGACGATGCAAATAATCTATTATTAATATTAATTTTATCTTTTTCAGAATTAAAATCATTTTTATTAGTGTACAGCTTACCTGTTCTAGAGGATATAATGGACGAAGATTATTTTGAACATTTTAAGTTATTCGTACACGCTATTTCTCTATTAAATTTTTCAAGCGTGAGTGACGGTATGATAGAGACTGCTCATCGACTATTAGTTGAATTTGTCAAGGAATTTGAATACTTGTATGCTCGTAGATATATGACTTGTAACATTCATTTATTGCTTCATTTGGCAAATGAAGTTAAGAAATTCGGACCTCTGTGGGTAGTAACGTGCTTTTCTTTTGAAAATTTTAATGGAATTTTGAAGAATTACGTGCATGGATCGAATAATCCACAATTGCAAATATGCTCTTCGATTAATTTTTTTTTAGGCTTGCCTGAACTTAAAAGTAAATATTTAAAAGAGAATAGTGATACTTATGAATTTTGTAAAAAAATAGAAAAGACGGGTACTCATCGACGCAAATTAAAACGAATTCGTGAATCGATATACGTTGTCGGTAAAGACTTGCGAATCAATCGTTTATCGGATACTTTCGCTCGAGTTTTTCAAGAAAATAATATTGTTATCGATAATAGTCGATTACACATGTATCGTAAACTTTTTATTAATAATTTATACTGCGAAATAAGTTTAATTTCGAAATTCAAAAAAAGCAATTCCTCGTGCATTAAGTTTATTCACGAAGATGAAATAAAATTTGGATTAATAGAATCTTTTATAAGAATATGTGCATGTGATTGTCTAGGAGTATGTATAGATTGCAATGAAAACTGTACGAATTATGCAATCGTTAAATTGTGCATTGTAGATAAATATTACTTTTGTCAATCAATCGCGGATTATATTCCACAATTTTATGTTTTGAAAGAAAAAAAAAAGTTATTACTAATTGACGTAACATTAATTTTAAATGTGTGTTATTTAATTATTAATAATGATAAGACCTTTATTATTGAAAGAACTAATAATATGGATACTGAGTATTAAGTTTAATAAAAATTTACTTACCTGTTGTCACTACTCTGCAAATGCTTTTTGTCTATGTTCAACAACTTTTTATGTAAAATAATACATTCTTATTTAAAAAAAAATTTTTTCTAAATCTGTAAATGGTATGGTGAAATTTTGGATTAACTATGTCCCAAGAATTGACATATTTCGCCATAATTTCGGCTTAATTTCGGCGTAATTTCGGCGCATTTTCGCCATCATTTTCGCAAAATTTGGGATCAATTTTTCAAAATTTGGCCCAAAGTTTCGAGTAGTTTCGGAGAAACTACAAAAACCTGGAGTTATAGTTTGGGGTAGTCTCCTGCGCCAAGGTTTTGGTAGGTTTCGCCCGAAGATAAAGTTTGGCATTGCTTGGGCGAAACTTTTCGATTTTTACGCGGGCGAACATGGAAGAATCTTCAATTTTCTCGCTCTTGTTTCTGGCGTTGAAAAACATCCGGAGTTTCCATTTAAGGAAAAAAAAAAAAAAAAAAAAAAAAATTGGTTCTGAATGCCTCGATGAAACGGTTCGAAGCTATATACTCGCGCTGCGAGCGCGGGACAAAGTTACAAGCTCGCTCCGTACACAAGCTCTCTTATGTACAAGCTGTTCTAATGAGATAAGTTAGCGAGGGCGCGAGCTGTGCCCTCCGCGTTTACTTGCATGTATAATATCTCTCTCACCCGTACTTTTGCGGATGTTATATTCTCTAGGTGGAGGCCGGGCTGTCTTAAACGAGCCAAGTTAAACGCCGCTCGACGGAAAAGATCTACGTTTGTTTTACGTATTGGAGCTCGATCGGTTGTTTTCTTCGACGCTTTCAAAACCTACTACTTTCGGAATAAATTGAGATAAATCGAGCCACGGCCTCCTAATGCGAATAAACGATCTTTAACCTGCCGAGCTTTATTACGTTGTAATAACAATAATAATGTTGAGCGCCTCATCCCGGTTGATAATGTTGTCCGTTCCCGAACAAAACGATCCATTATCGTACTATGCACGGGGTATAATAATATAATGATGCAGCGCCTGCACATTTTCCGTCCGATACGCGCGGCTATTGTTTAATAATAGTTGCAGCGGCCCGGAGTTGCCGGCCGGTACGCCGCCGCCGCGTGATACATCCTTTCCTGCCCCCGACGCGGAAATTATTTCTATACCCTCTTGGATTCAACAGAAGTAGAGAGCTTAATTGACGTCTATTATACCGGGGCAGGAGCGGTGAGAAGAAATTTTTAGGTAGATAGATTATAATATAATGCGAGAAGATGCTGCATTATATAAATAAATATAGAGGATAGCATATTCGCTGGAAATGGTAATTAATATAACGTATTGTTTTTTTTTTTTCAACAAGACGTTGAGAAGGTATTTTTAGAATTCAAAACGGCTCTCACCATAATTCTTTTCCCAATTTTGACGAGTCTATACACATCTTTCATTGAGCCGATAAAAATGGAACAAACGCCCACATTGTCGGCGATCGATTCCACGCATTTCCCGAGATCCATCTCGACCCTGGTCGACAGGGGCCTGGTGTCGTTCTCGATAGCGCGCAATAATGGCAACAGAGGTTTCAGCTCGATCGGCTCCCTGCCACGGTTCGTACCTTCGCCGACCTCTTTTTCTTCTTCTAAAACGAGAATCCACGCTGATTTTAAGTCACGCGCTACTATAAAAAAAAACCGTTCCATGGAAGTTGTCGTCACCTTCCAGATGTAGAAAAAGAAGAACGGCGAAGGCACGAACCGCGACAAAGAATCGATAGAGTTGAAACCTCTGTCGCCAGGATCGCGCGCTACCGAGAAAAACACCAGACCCCTGTCAACCAGAACCGAGATGGACCTCGAGAAATACGTCGAAATCGATCGCCGACAATACGAGCGTCTGTTCAGCTCCACGGTTTACTGTTACACCGAGAAAAAAAATTCATTGAATCAATGAAATCTAATTTAATATTTTATTTACTATTAATTTAATCAAATGATTGATTGAAGCAATGAAACTTTGGTAATAACAATTAAATATTTTGTTGGATGAAATAAAAAAAGATTGAATCAATGAATTTTTTTTCTCGGTGTACGTACGGGAGCTTTTCTAAGCGTATTCACATGTACTCGATCGTTATTGATGAGCTGCTTCCGAAAGCTTCGATTTTTAACCAGAGTCATGCTCGTTGGCTAGCTCCGATACGCGATCATACTCTTAAAGCTCGTTAAGTTTGTAAAATTAACGAGGAGAGAAAGCGTCTGCGACTGAAGATATTGTCCAAAAATCGAACGATGACTTGAAATTCCCCGGGGGCGATTATAGTTTGGGTATTTCGTTATTTATCATTTTTCGTGCGACGACGCATACGCACTGCACGCACACGAGCACAGAGTGAAAGATGATAAATAACGCACGGTGCAAAAATTAAAAATCATATCCGTGGCCCTAATCGCTCGTGCAGCTCTCCGATTATTATGCACACATTGCGAAACGCTTGTGGGTATTTTTCTTTCTACGCTGCATCGCCGAGTCAAGCCAATAAAAGTTCAATTGGAGCATATAATAATGTATATAAAGTCGCAGCCGCGAGTGAGTCAAACTTCAGCGGCACGATCAGCGGTGTGTGTCGCGCGAGGTAAATATTTAACGATCTCGCTCTCGCATGTGTCACACACATGGCCTGAACGCCTATAGATCAGTAAATTTCGTTTGGGGATTTTTTTAGTTTAATAATATCCCGATTCGGAATACGGAAAGTTATGTAGTGGTATACATCTTATCCCCACTGCTACTCGATGACGATATGAATTCGGCTTGAGTATGTGTGTGTATATTTGAACGCGATGCCGCGAGATACGCTTCATTCACGAGTGAGACTTTGTCGAGCGAGTGCATACTGTAATTTCAATTAAGTAAGTTTCTTTCGTCGTATTAGTGAGTGCGTCGAGTGTTGTTATTATTTTTTTTTTATCTCGAGATTGTCGGTCGTAAGGTTTGGCTTCGTAGAATAGTTAAAATATTGTTGCCTTCGTTGCTCATCAAACTTATGGTATTTTCATTGTAACAATATTGTGAGATATTATGTACGATAAAAAAAATATGTGAGCCGAAATGTATTATATGAAAATACCATAGATCGTTTGACGACCAATGCATAAAAGTGTTTTTATTATTGAATTACATACGCGACGAAAAGGTCGCTCGTTATTGCCAACCGATAAAGAACCAATTCATCGATACCGCAAGCGTGTACTCGATTTTCATCTTCTACTATTTTCCGCAGGCCATACACAATGTCGTCGATAAGATTCGTTATCTTGGGCTTGCTGGCCGCGCTGTGCCTTCAACAGAGCGTCGAGGCCGCAGTGAACCAGCACAATCTCGTGGTGGGCGGCCGCGTCTGGGGCGACTATCTGATCCAGCGCGTCAAGGTCGACAAGAAGTCGGCCTGGCTGCGACACGTCTCGGAGAGTCGCACCTTCAGCGGCGACGGCACGTCGCGCATCAGCCAGATCCAGGTGCTGGACCAGAAGCACGACGGCACTGGGGCCTACGCCACACTGGTCACGGGCGGACCCGGCCAGACCTTCGCCACCCTCAAATTCAAGAGCCAGAAGAGCCACGGCATTCACTTCGTGGTCGAGCTCTACGGCAAACGATGAGGAGGAGGAGTGTGGTTCTGTTCTTTTTTTTTCATGTTTTTGTGGAATAATTATTATTCGTCATGACGGTGTTTCCTACTGATGTACAATACGAACTTGATGTTTGAACAAGTGTCATTCGGAATAATAAAAAAAATTTGTGTTTACACATACGACTGCAGATAAGAGAATTATTTTTTTTCTTTTCCCCTATTGCCAGACTCGTCTTCGAGCTGAAAATTCGTCATCGGCGAATGTATAAAAATTAAATGTATAAAAACAAAAAACATACACTCCTATTCATTATTTCTTAAGCTCGTAAAAATGAGATGCTTGAATTATTGACATTTGATAAAGAAGCGCACGCGATTATGCCATCGCTTAAATTTGCAACGTGAGCTCATCAAGGCCTGCAATCTTATCGTTAAAATCACTTTTGTTTTTTAAAAAACAAAACACAATTATAACGGATGCCATGCGATTTTTGCTAGATCCAACTCGAATGATTCATATATGCACCTGCGTAACGGTAACGAGCAATAAAAAAATTGAGAGAGAGGGAGGGAGAGATGTACCAGACGCGCTTCCCCACTCGGACAAAAAAGCTCGAGCTCTCGAACTATCCGCGCGCGCCCAAATATTGTACACACACAACAACAGCCCGTCAAAAATCGGGAGAACGAGTCTGCACGAGAGCGTGAAAAAGAGGTCTCTTTCTCTCTCTCGCTCTATCCTCGTTTGGGAATTCTTGCACGGGGGGATCGGCATTGTTCGTAGCTACTCCGCGAGCGTCGTTCTTTCCTCGTGGCCGTACATACTTAACACAAAAGAGACTGATTTTTTTCACCCAGTTAGCTTCTAGAAAAATGCGTCGTCTTTTTTTCTTTAATTGTTGTTGTGTGACCCTTAAAGCTGTGTTAGAAAGCATGATGAATGAAATTTGTGGAAATGAATTTTAAGATGAAACAAAAGCCTAGATTTGTGATCTCAATGAGAAATGTAGCGTAAAAGCCCCACAGCCCAAGCATGTGTTAGTCAGCTACACGTACAACCCGACGAATCTCAGCCTCTCTAGATATCGCAAAATATTCAGACGCGGCAATAAAAGTATCGAGTTACTGAGAAAACGCTTTAATTAAACTATACTCGTGCGCCACGCACGTAGCAAAATGAAAAAAAAATCGTTTCTACTATTCAGTAATCGATAATATCAATTATTGTATTCGATGGAAAGAAATTTCAGTCGGAAGCCAGATTTCGTCGAGTGCGTGTAGATCAAAAGCAGTTACGATTTTTTTTTTAATGCAGCATTTCGCGTTCAATCGTAATCACGGTAAGATTTGCCTTAACAAAATTTTTCAATATTTCTCGAGAGAAGAAAAAATTATTTCATCGAGTATGTAGTAAATGTGGCATAAAAAATTATTTTATCAAATATGGCTTTTTGTTCCGGCAAATGTTACCTGATACTTTTGAATGTAAAAAAATAATGAAATTATAAAGGGTTTTTAGGTTTGCTTATCTGAATGCTGTCATTGATATCTGGTCCTCTGCGTAACGCGCCAATTTTCAAATCTTTCCTGTAGTATTGTATCGATCCCGTCCATTTTTCATTAACTATTGTCCTGGAAAAAAGAAAGAAAAGAGATTCGATCAGTACCACAAAGAATTATTCTATTAAAACACATTATTGCACAATTATTTTATTCCGATAAAAGTGAACATCTTACAACGAATACTAAACCAAAATTACATTTCCGAGTATCGACTCGCTCGTTCCTCTTTTTTTATTCAAACTCCATTCGCAAACAGGAACATATCAAAAAGGGAAATACGCGTCTGACACGATCGCGCGCTTTAGTATCAGCCGCATACATACGTACAAATTTTTTGCGCACTTCGCGCCATTGCAAAACAAAAAAAAAAAAAAATTGTGAGCGAGAGAGAGAGAGAGAGAGAGAGAGAGAGAGAGAGAGAGCAAAAAGGCTCTCAACCGCAGTTTTGCCCCGAAACTATCTACGATTTATATCGCGCAACGAGCTCTCGCGTACATGCGCATTTATAAATATAGAATATCGCGGAGCAGCTCTCTGGAAATTCTCTCGTCCTCTCAATACGTGCCGTACACACACGCACACAACTGTATGTACCTTCACGCGTATAATCGTTTTTGCCTGCGCCGAGGCGTTCGTGCGTTTTCGTTTCGCGCGCGGCGCATATAGGGATAGATACACGCATTCACACACACACATATAGGATACGTGAAAAACTCAATGTTTCCGGCACCGAAAAAAAAAAAAAAAAAAAGAAAAAAAATCCCCAACACGCAGATTGAGACTTATGTGCCGCGTGCGCACGGTCTGCTGAACTCGTTCGATCAAAACAATAAAAAAAAACAGGAGAGGAGAGAGAGAGAGAAAAATACAGCAACAAAAAAAAGGGTTGATCCGCTTGCCGGAGAGAGAGAGAGAGAGAGAGAGAGAGACCTAAACTCGCTACGCTAACAATGCCAACTGTGTTCGCGTGTGAATAGAAGAGCTTCGGGCTCCGACTCTATCTCTCTCTCTCTATTCGTGGGATGAAAACTGATTTTTAACAAACAAAATATAAAAGAGTCGGCGTGTTTAAGATGTATAAAATAATAAAATTCGAATTTCGTTTATTTATTTGTTTGTTTTTGTTTATTTGTTTGTTTGTTTGTTTGTTTTTTTACAAACAACAAAATACGTAAAAACAAATACGATGCGTGATGCATCGATTTCACGGGCTATCGAATTTACAACAATTTTTTTCATTTCTCAACGATCTTCGTTGAAAAAAAAGTATACGAGCATATGTGTAACATCCGACCGAAATTTAATTTTCGTACTAACGCGCGCTGTTAATTGAAACGAATAGTCGACGCATCAAACTCAAATTTCTCGATCTATCAAAAGCTTCAAGGAAAAATATCGAGAACACCGGACACACTGGAAAGAGGAAAATTGAGTTGGTTCGTGTTTCAAACGATTTTTCGTTGACTCGCGAACATTCATTTGACACACAAAAAAAAACGGAAATCGAGTCTAAACTTTGACTAAGATGCTCGATGGAGCTCGAAGGAGCTCGAGAACTTTTTCAGCTCGTAAACTCGAGAACAAACTCGAGCGGTATACAGAAATTCACATGCGCTCGTCGCGCGACAACAATTTTTTACCTATATAATATACAGAGCTTGCGGTAAAAAAAACTATGTAGTTTATCGCTCGTCGATCGCTTTCCATTACTCTTTTTCGAGCTTCGATTTTTTCAGAAAATTAACAAGCACATACAGAGTCCCGCAGGACAATCAGCGCCGTCTTAACTTTTACGCGAGCGAGCGAAAATATGCAAAAATACTCCACCCGCGTGGAAAATTGAATCAGTCTCTTGGAGAAATCGAGGCCCGGAGATTCTTCGAGAGAGAGGCCGAGAGGCATAATATACAGTAGAACGTATATCTGTATCGGCCGGTGGACGCCAGCGAATAAAGTTACCATACATTAGGATTAACGAAATTAGCGGAAAAGAATTAGCCGCACTCTTGTCTCTCTCTCTCTGTACAGCTGCTGGTCTTCTACCGCCTGCTCGACTAGACGGTATGTACAAGGCGTTGCCCGCGCGCGAGCTCGAATAAAAGGTATATAACTCGAGGCGCTCAACCAATTAGCTAACTTACTCCTACGCGGCGCGCGTATGGACTCGAATCTTGCTCGAAAGATAGAGAGAGAGAGAGAGAGAAAAGCCCAGAAGAAGAAGAAGAAATAGTGTATAGCTCCGATATTTTTCTTTCACTCCGAAGCCGCAACTCTTTTATTCTATTCTCTCTCAATATAGCCGCGTTCTCGAGGGAGAACTTCTGCGAGCGACGAAAATACGATTTTCACTCGTGTATAGCGTATATATACGTATACGCAAGGACAAATCGTCGGGAAGAAAATGACGATTATTCGATTAATTATTTGTTTAACCGTGCACCGAGAGAGAGGCGGCGAGAGACAGGAAGCAGGAAAGAGAAAAGTTCTGATTAAGGTGGTTCTTTCAATATTTGTTGAGACATGAGACCTATCCTATCTTATAGATTAAATCACGCTGAATTCAATGGTATAATTATTTATGGGGCTTACGCTGCAAAATTTCGAGATATTTTATCTCAAAGTATGCTATTTTAACATGGGAAGCATAGAACGGCCACCATCCATATGGTATTTCTAATCAAAAATTAATTTGTTCGGGTATCGGAGTGTATAGGTTTTATAGAAAAAACTCTAATCTTTCAGCCTGTGTATCGTAAAACAGGGCTTACGCTGCAAAAAATCAAGATTTTTCACGTAAAAGTGAAAAAAACGATGTTTTTGCTATGAATCAGCTGATGTCAGGCTGCGCAGTACTTACTGCGCATACAAAATATACAGCTCTAGGCAAGAGTTCACTATAGAAAAACTTAAACTGAAAGAACCACCTTAATTAGAGTAAGAGGCAGAGAGAGATGGAAGAAAAAAGGAGGCAAAGTAAACGACATGCAGTGGGTTGCGATAGAGAATCGAGGTGAATAATATTGCACGATCGATCGACTGCCTTTTTTTTTTATAAACGAATTTAAGAACAAAGGCAGAGAGACGAGAAAAAAAAAGGCGCCGTTACACATTTATTTTATTACTATACAATGCCATAACCGTCGATAATTTCGATACGTGTTATTTAATATCGAGTTTTCGTAAACGCGCGTGGGCATTGTACCAACGATTTAAGGAGTGAAAACAACGGCAAAAAAAAATTCGCGTCTCTTGACCGAATATACATACGCATTTACAGCTGTAACACAGGTAGCAGTTACAGTAGCCGGTAAACGGAAGCGATAAATATGAAAATGCGCCACGCGCTGGTACAGTAAAACAAGTGGAGAGAAAAGAGAGAGGGAGGTGTGAATTATCACGCATTATACATACCGCCCCGAACTCTCTCTCTACATACCTTACAAAGAATGGAATAAATTCTGTGCCACGCGGCACGTGTTCTGGCCCGGCGCTGGTTGCTACTACTGCTACTGCAGGCGCAGCGTGGAATATGCGACGGATGCATAATGTCCATGCAGCGCCCGGAGCCGTTAATAAATATAAACGAATGTCAAAAATGTTGCGCGAAACGCGCGAAAAGCAGAGGTAAAATAAAAAAAGAAAGAAAGAAAGAAAAAACAATGCCCCGAAAGCAATATACGCATAAATAGAGCGGGGCAAAATACCAAAAGGTTGTAAAAATTCAGTCGGGCGGTCGAATAAACCAGCCACGTGTGGCAGTAAATTTGAATAAATAAAAAAAATGTTATTTTTTTTTAAATAATTGAAATAACAGTAAACGAAAGAGTAACGTCGGGTTCACGATGGTTTACATCACTTTCACCATGTGGTAGAGAACGAGAGAGGGGATTCGAATGGATTAGATATTCGACTACATCGATGGGCCTCATCGCTGGTTCGACTTGTTCTTTTCTTTTTATTTAGCCAAAGCGTAGTGTATAAAAGTAATAAAAAAAGAAAGAAAAATAAAAATTACTCAATATTCGCTTACCTTTTCTGCCGGGGGTGTTTTCAACGCCTCGATCTTTCCTCGCAGTCGCTGTCCCGTTCAACGTAGTTGATTACTTCTTGCACACATCTCTCTCCTTGTAACACACGTGTGAGCATATTTTATCGTCGTCTCGTGCGTTACAAGGAGAGAAGTAAGGAGATGTGAACCGTTGGTGAGCAAGAAGTCAAATGTACGCCGAGAGCTCGTGTCGATGGAGCAACTGGGATCGTCAGTTTCGATATTACATTATATCTCCTACCATGAGACCAGAGGAAAAATTTTAAATGAGTCTACGCGTATACATGACGCAGCCTACGAGCAGTGTAGTAGCACTTTCAAATTTTCGAAAAAATACATTTGAATCTTAGTTTCGACTAGTATTCTCGAATTTCAGGTATATGAAACCATTTCTATTAATTTTCGTTGACTCCGATAGCTCTCGTGGGGTGTCGTACTTTATTACGCATTAACAATTGGTAAATATTTTTATTATCATGGTGATAATAAAAGACAGTGTGAGCAATAATTTATACATAGTATTGGATGCGCTTGGACAGTATACTATTAAACATTGCGCACGGAACTGTTACACTAACTTGGTGCAATCGTTGGCAGCGTTTGTTCAAAAATAATGTCAATTAACGATTCCTTTTATTTATAGATAAATATGTTGACCTCTACTTGACCACACTTTCTTTACTGGATTTTTAAAAAATATATATATGGGGCAAAATTCCTGATCTGTCCTAGCGATCCGGCCGAGCGGCCTTTTTAAGCAAAATCACTCAATTTCTAACTCGCCATAAAAGCCACTAAACATCCTTAAAAAAAATATGTGATGAAGGTTTTCGATGGGAAATTACCTCAGCTTTCCGATGGTGGGGTCCAATTTTCCGAAATTTTCCATTTTCCCGAAAAAAAACTGAAATATATATTTCAAAGTTGATTATCTCAAAAAACAACGTTTTTTTTCTCTTTTTTATGTTTCCAATCGAAAGAACATGTCTTTTTACGTCGAAAACGTTATTTTTCAGCGTGTGCAACAACTAAAAATTTCGAGCTACAAGAGAGATTATAGTCGGCGCTCGACCGGCCGGCCGCGGCCAGCGCGCGCCGTAGCCGCTACGTTCGCGTTTTTTGCCAATAACAGTAACCAATTTATCTCAAAAAATTTAACAAAAATATGTTTCCGATGTATTTTTTTCTCACCTTTCCAATGGTGCTATCCAATTTTCCGAAATTTTCTATTTTCATCGAAAAAATCGAGAAATTCAAATGTATTTATGACATATTCTCTAAAATGGAAAATTTCGGAAAATTGGACCCCACCATCGGAAAGCTGAGGTAATTTCCCATCGAAAACCTTCATCACATATTTTTTTTCAGGACGTTTAGTGGCTTTTCTGGTGAGTTAGAAATTGAGTGATTTTGCTTAAAAACGCCGCTCGGCCGGGTCGCTAGGACAGTTCAGGAATTTTGCCCCATATAACGATCCACGAGGAAATATAACGATGAATTAGGATGAGAAGAATATTATAAGTAAAAAAATAAACATGTTTCTAAATAAATAAGTATAAATAATTTTGCATTCAACTTTTCAAAGCCGCAGCAGTAAATTCGAGCAGGCAGCTCGCACGAAGTTGCAATTCGTTGCCGAAATTCAGTAATGCTGTAATTGACAATAGTTATTTATTTACAAAAATTATCGGTGCCGAGATCGTATCACCTTTATGACAATAAGGAATTTCGGAGACTGACTTGTTGTCGGTCCATTTGACTTATTATCGCCGACAATCGTATTCATAATAGAAATTGCTGTTTCACGAAATCAGATAAAAATTAGATAAAAAACATTTAGAGAGATCCAAAGTCGGTCAGGAGCAGTGCAGATGATCGTCCGCGCCTACACTTTTTCGTACGATCATAACACGGTTCGAACGCATTCGATTTTTCGCGAGAAAATGTCATCATTACGTCGTACATATGCCTAAAAGCCTGCCAGGGACATGTACCGATATACTCGAATTCGAAATCTCTCGCGCCTATCGTTATTATTTACGTCGATGAGGCATTAGGCATACGGCAATAATCCCACAGCCTGCCTGCCATCCACCCACGAGCGCGCGCGGATTTTACATATTTATCCTTTCAACGTCAAATTAATTTTCGCGCAGCTAAACCCAGCCCCCCGTTGATGCGCGCGGGCTGCTGCTATACAATCGCGAAAACGCGAAAATCGCATATAATCCCTGGCCGGCTCTCTGCCACTCTCTCTCTCTCCGCGCGTATAGCAGTTGAATCAGAGCTCTGACATATATATAATATACCTGCAACTGCAGCTGCACTGCACTCACTCCCTCGGCCGCGATTAGTTGTAATAAAAGTTTAACGAGATGATGCCAGCCTTTCGGCGCGCAGTCAATTTCAACTTTATACACACAACGAGTTCGGCGAGTCTGTATTTATATATGTTTATATACGTGTGTGAGTGCAGTGCACAGTTATATTGTTTAAAACGGGAGCCAACGACGAAAATCCGAGGGAATTAATCAGTGCCAGTATATAAAGTGTTGTATATAGAGAGAGAGAGAGAGAGCTGCTTTTCGCGAATTTTGTGTATTACTCGATCGAGTGCGGAGTGACACGACTCGATACCGAGTTGAACCAACAATTGCTTTTATATACTTAAAATACAACGTCAGCCGCTCGGTACACGCGTATTTCAACGATATTATTATTAAACACCCTTTACTCATCGGTGAAATGTATTATTATCATGTAATATTTATTTATTATAAATTGCATCGATGCGTTAATGCAATGTTTATTGCGAGCTTTTAAAAATTGCATATATGTAATAATTCCCAATCAACCGGTAATGTTACAATATCTTACTGTACACAAATCGCAACGTGATTAGATGATTTTTGACGGGGTCGAATTATTGAATCAGCGAGGGTATTAATATTAACGATGCTCTCAACCGTTACGCGAAAAATTTCCTCCAACGAATCGTTTTATATACTTAAACATAACGATGATTTAATAAGCTCTCTTTGACAAATAGGGACAATTTATTTCGGGATATTGCGACTTTATTGACATTCAAATTGTTTATCTCAGTTGTTAGTCATCGTACAAACGATAATACCTCGGCTGAATTAATCGTCAAGTACATAGCGGCGACGATCGACATTAATTAGCGAGTTTATAACTCGAGCCAAATATTATCAGATAGTTGACAGGAAAAAAAATATTTTGCGCGAAAAATAATCGCTATTCCGTGTCATCTTTTCGCGCAAAAATTTGAAATTAGCGCTACGACTTGAAACGCTCCTTGGCTGCGACGGTGCGCTGTTGTAGTTTTCCGGTATGCATTCGCGAGCGAATTATAGGCTAGTAAGCCGGCGGACTGCGGAGATACTTTTTCGCTGCACGTGGATGTATTCGCATTCGCGATTCCATTTTTTATCCTGCCATCGCATCGTCGACCTCGTCGTTCGTCCCGTTGAGAGCATCTACGTGAACTTTTTGCCGTTACTGCGATATGATTTTTAGTCGAAGGGACTACGGGCAATTATGTTCGACGTTCAAACGTGAGTAATGATTCGTGGCCCTTTTGTTTCTTTTTGGATTATTGCGGGAAAGGCTTGATGAGTCTGAGGATTTTATAATTAAAATTTTCGTTGTACATTGATAGAATTGTTTAATAATTACATTGTTTAAATCTTCATGTTGTCTGAATAAACATTAATTTATTTTCTTTTGCAGGAAAAATATTTGCATTTGGTGGATAGATGGATGCAATTCGCTAGAATTTTCTGGAAATGGATCTTCTTAACAATGGAGCTGATCTTCATGAGGTTTTGGAACTGCATAAGTAAAAATTCATCATGTCTGCCATGGTAAGTTCATACTTTATAAGTCTTAACTTTTTAATACGCTTAAGCACTTTACTATTTTTATGCATCTTTCAACGTGTGCATTTCTTCATGGTATTATTTATTTTATGATGATAACTAGGCTCCCTCTACTGAGTAGAACCCAAAAATTTAATATCTTTGCTGAGAGAAGCCTCACTGATTATTTACATAAAAAACTGACTCTTGTATATATCTATTATTTTCCCATCCCTATAATGCAATGGTTTGATTGCAGGATACAAATGGCACGCTGATGTATGATGCTGGCACAGCGATGGCTGTAATGAGGAGAACTACATGCAACCAATACAATCTTTATGTGCTGAACACAAAACTCCACTCATCAAACTGGACATGGATGGAATATAGATGCAAAAGTTAGAAAATTCTTCTGATCTTTTTGCCTAGTCGTCAAGGTATGTATTTATTGAGTTAGTGTAAATTACATACAATTTATGAATACTCGTAAAGCATATTTAATATAAAGTTTCAAAAAAATTTAATTATGATTATAACTAGGCTCCCTCTACTGAGTTGAACCCAAAAAATATAACTTCTTTGCTGAAAAAAGCCTTTCTGATTCTATGAAATCTAAAACTTTTTTTAACTCATTCAAAAAACAGTAAATTCATAAAGTTAATAATTGTTTCAGAATTCACTGGATGAAGAAGAATATTGGAACAAGTCTTTGGATATGCGGTGAAGGTAAATAAAGAACATTTTTATTTAAGTCTTTAATATTACAATAATTCTAGGTACTCCAAAAATTATAAACATTTTGAAAGTAAAATTATCATGATGATACCTAGGCTCCCTCTTCTGAGTAGAACCCAAAAAATGAAAATTTTCTGCTGATAGAAGCCTTTCTGATTTTTTTGTTAAACAAACTTGTTTGAATAAGTTATAAAAAAGCAGTGAATTCATATGATTATTAATAGTTTCAGAATTGTGAAGAAAATGAACCTCTGCAAAAGACATCATATTGAATTATCTCAAGCAGCACAGTTCACTGTAAATCAACTATTTACTTGAGGAAAATCATTGGATACGCATAGATAGTGAAGGTAAATTTTAAAAAAACTTTATTTGAAAACAATTTTTCATTTTAAAAGTAAAGTAGTAGTATTAGGTTTATTGGCGTTTTTAAAAAATTATAAAAAAAAATTGCCTTAATTCAATTGAAAGTAAATTTATCGTGATGATATCTTGGCTCCCTCTACTGAGTAGAACCCAAAAAATTAAAATTTTTTGCTGAAAGAAGCCTATCTGATTTTATTGATAAATGAAATTTTTAACTCTATATTAAAGAATCAGAAAATTTATAAAATTATTCATTATTTCAGAATGAAGGAGAAAATTAATGTTTGCAAAAGGTACAATTTTATCTCAAGGAGCCTTATCCACAGTGAGTCATCGGTATAACTTGAATAATCCATTCGAGAACCAGTAATGATTGAGGTAAATAAATATTTTTTTGTTGATAAAAAATAAATTATTAATTATTGCAAGAATTTCTCAAAATTTCAATTTCAAAAAACTTAAATTTATTATGATGATATCTAGGCTCCCTCTACTGAGTTGAACCCAAAAAATAAAATTTTTTGCTGAAAGAAGCCTTTCTGATTCTTTTTTCTTAAATCATATTTTGTTGTTTCATTGATACAAAAACTAGTTAGCTAAAGTTAATAATTATTGTGTTTCAGAATTAATGTAAGGATATTCATCAAGACTTACTCTGGTGGACTTTTCAATTGAACTTTGTATTATGTACAAATATTTTTATAAATAAAAAATGTACTTGAACAACTATAAATTATTTCTTTAGCTATTTATTTATTTTTATCCTCACGTTGAAAATCATTGAAATGACTACCTGAAATTCGTATGTAATCTGTAGTAAGTACACTATCGAGCGAGGCTGCTCTGATTGGTCGATTCGCAATGCGCACATGTGCGAATCCGTGTGTGCAGTCAACGTCAGGCAGATCAGCGGATTTTCGCGATAAAATTGTCTGCTGCTAGTCCCACGTTACATGCAGCCTCCGCCTGCGCTCGAAATTTCACGTATCGCATCGACTCTCATCCGATAAAAATGAGTTGCAAACAACATTGAGTGCTTTCGGCATTGCGTAATTTATACAGAAGCCACATCGGAGTTCGTGCGATTATTATTGCCTTCGGCCAAGTAATCCCAGTCCCCCAAGTTTCCCACCCGTTCAGTACACTCTCGGTTTGACGGTAGCAGAACAATTTTTGCAACGCCTTAAAAATCACACATCATCCCAATGAGATACTTACATTCAATTTTCAGGAAAGTTAATTCTAATATAATACAGACTAGAATGGCGCAGAAAATTACCCAAAGATCTAATTCTAGTGATATCGGTTGCTTAGAGGATATTGAGCCACCTATCAATAAGTTTTTGAGAGGAAAATACAAGAGGTACATTGAATGAGTCAGTAACTTTTTTAACAATTGATTCACCCTCCATTGACATTTCTAATGATTCCAGGAGTTTTGCGCATAAAACTATCAAGGATAGATTACCCGTTATACTGACAAAAGTAGTTGATAATCTAAGTCGAAATAAAGATGCGATAGTGCAAGAAAAGGGAGCGGTAATTAATTTCAATAAAGTAACTAGGCCTTTGTAGCAGCAATATTAAATGTAAATAATCATGATTTTAGGAAGCTACACAAGAAATAAAAACAGTTATTGGGGCTGTAAGTAAGTTGAGAAATGAGCTCATGACCAATAAAGCACTCCTTCCTTTAGAACCATTACCAGGTAGGACCAACGATGATACTCAAGTGTGGAATGATAAAATTGAAAAACTTTCCAAAGAGGAGGGTGAAACACAAACATGGTACAATGCAATATGGCTCATTAGTGAGTGCTATATGTACAGACGAATGGCACAAGAATTAATGTCAACGTGAGAAATCTTAAACTTTAATTTTCCAGTTAAATTTAGACAACATTGTTTATTTTAATTCATAATATTATATTGTATAGAAAGCATTTGAAAACATATGATCCTTTTGAAATTCAAAAACAAGAAGGATTTACTATGGCAGCAACAAGCGTTGCTTATTTAGCAGAGTATGTGTTGGAATGTGTACATACAAAAAAAGATGAAGCATCATCAGTACAACATTTATCTAATTTAATGAAATTAAACCTTTGGGGTAACAGGTAAATAATTTTATAAAATTTGAGTGACATTATTTTTAAGTATTTTTCATTTTATAGATGCGACCTTTCACTGAGCGCAGGTGTTGTGAGCTCAAAAGAGTTCAATCCATTAGATTCATTAGAAAAGTTGAACAAACAGATTTTAGTTGATGACAGTCATCAAGTGTCTGAATTTTTAGTAAAAAATCAACAATCTGGAAATACTAATTCTACAATTGATACAGTTCTTGATAATGCTGGATATGAGTTGTTTACTGACTTATGTTTGGCCATTTATATTTTGGAAAAAAGTGTGGTCAAAAAAATGAGGTTTTATGTAAAAAGATATCCATGGTTTGTTAGTGATGTTATGACCAAAGATTTTCATTGGCTAATTGAAATAATGAAAAAATCAGATAATCAAAGTATTCAAACTTTTGGTGGTTTATGTGAAAAGCATTTAAAATCTGGTGCAATAACTATTGAAGTGAGTCAGAAAATTTTAAGTCCATAGCCATTTGAGAATTTACTAACTTTGAATACATTTTCAGGAGGAGTCATTTTGGACTGATCCATACGATTTTTCGGAAATGCCGACTCATGATCAAACTTTGTACAAAAAATTATCTGAAGCTATTTTAGTAATTTTCAAAGGAGATCTTAACTATCGTAAACTTATGGGGGATGTGAATTGGGAAACTACTACTGATTTTACTCATGCTTTACGTGGATTCCAGCCATCACGTCTAGTTAGCTTTAGAACAATCAAAGCTGATGTATGTTCTGGTTTACCGCAAGGGGTAGCTGACTCATTGAAAAAAGAAGATCCCCATTGGATGGAAACTGGTCGTTTTGGTTTAATACAAGCTAGTTTTCCAAATAAATAAGTTTTTTTTGAATATGCAAACAAGTTGTTAATAATCATATAAAATTTGATATAATCTATTTTGTTTTGCTTACTCTGCATTTTTGACTATTTTTAAAAATGTGTAAGCTTTGGAATTATTTAAATCAGAGAATGAATGAGTAAATTTCTTGTTTTCTTTGAAACTAGATAAAATAAAGAATTTAATGTATGAATCATGTTTTTTATCATAATAAATGAATATATTTTCGAAAACTGTTTACCTTATTACTATTATATTTCAAATATATTTTTTTAATATTCAAAAGAATGTATTCAAACATATGCATTTAAATTGTTTCAATGTTAATAATTTATTACACTTAATTTTAGTAGATATTCAATTATAATCATAATCATAATATATGCTAATAAGTAACTATTATGCATACGTATGTTATAATATCTATTTTTCTATGTAAATTTTTGTACAGGCATAATTCTACATCGAATTTAAAAAAAAATAACGATAGAATCAAAAATTGTTTTATATAATTATATATATTATATGATTACGCTTCATTTTTAATCTGGAGTCTATAAAAATCATTCTTGAAATTTATCCTTTACAGTTTTCATGTTCTCATAATACTTTATAATAGTCCCACATCGTTTTATTTCATTCAAAAATTCAACATATAGTTATTATTCAATATATATCATTATCAACACAATAATCAAAACTGATGAAAAATTAATTCAATAACGACCGGATTTATCGCCTAATAACACTTCATGATATAAAATAAACAGTATATTTAAGTTTTAATTTAATAAAACACAATTTTCATCAACTGTGTCATTTGAAGACTCTTCAAACTTGTGCTGCATTTTTTTGTTTCCATTTTTTTTTCATTTATTACAAATAATTCGATGTTCAGCACAGAATTGACACAAAAATTCATCAGTCAATTCTCAGGCGTCCAAAACTGGGACGTTAATAAAATTCAACGTAGCATCTCGCACTTGTGTTCATCAAAATTAATAAAAAAAAAAAAAAAAAGGAGGCCGCATTCACAGTGTGCCCATTATACAATTAATACATTTTTTCCATACATTTTAAAAAGTCATACTATTCAATTATAGCCACTTGCATGCAAGAGAAGGAACGGACGTGTGAAACATCACGCTCGTGGACCATAAATATTGCAGTACCAACCCATTATCAACAATTGCTCGGGGTACCCGTCGCCTCGGCGCTCATCAAAATCACAGTAACATTTTTTTTTTCTTATACTTTCATTGAGTACATAATTATTATGGGTAGCGTCGCACGATACAAAACACAACCGAAGCGTCAGGTACGACACATATATAATTCATATACAACACGATCATCGCCTTTTGCAAGTGATTAACGAACGATATGTCACAGGCACATAAGTAAACACGCGGCCTCCCTAACAGCCAATATCAAAGACAGACAAAACGTTCACTTTTTTTCATGTTATCGGGTTTTTTTTGTATTATACGTTAACGGCAAAAAGATCTACTGTACAAATAACAACAGTTTTTCCCGCGGTTGTCGATCGTGGAAAAATCACATCTTTCGCGGGAGATAAAAAGAGATATAGAGAGAGTCTGATTCACTCGTGAAAATCGCAGCTTATTTCATCGCTATATAAAGAGGAATATTAATTAGTAATGGCACGAGCGACATTACAATCGTCTCGCTAAACTTTTCTCTTTTTTTTTTCATCTCCATAAAATCGACGCGGCGCCCCCTTCGCATAGACGCATTCGTCACAAAATATTAAATAAACGCAGGCAAGAGCCTGGTTGGACTTTGATGCTTTTTGTTTAAAAACGCTCGAGACTTCCAAAACGAAGCTCGATCGTGGAACAGCTCGTGAGTAGTTAATAAATAAAAGAAACGTTCAAGCAATGTTTTTTTTTTCGATCATCATCGTTGTTAATCCATAAGAGGAAAAAGAAATAATGGCGAAGCACCTTGAGCTGGGTCGAATCGTGACTTTTCTTACATATTATATATATAGTTTCCTCATTTCGTTAAACGCACCGGGAAATTCTTTTTTTTTTCTCTCTCTCTCTCCCTCTCTCCAGAATATGCCACCGTGTGTGTCCACTTTTGATTGTTGTTTGTTTTTTGAATTAAATTTTTCATGGAAACAGCGAGAGCAGTCGTTACTTCGTGAAAGCGGCGAAGACGGCCCACAGCACGGGATTGGCGTTTGGCTTGTTCGACTCGGCCTCGTAGTCGAGATCGAGCAGCGTCCTCACTCGACGCATGGCCACCTCGTAGTCGTCGTCGGACAGTGGCGCGAACGCATTCTCTAGGACGTCCGCGGCGTGAGCGAGGACTATCAAGGCAAGGGTGCGCCGGTCCATGCGACCCGCGTCGTTCACCCATCGACTGAGAACTGCGTCCTGAATCTGAAAATATCAGTTTGTTTGAGTAAATGGCATTTTATTGGGAGATATTTAATCTAAGGGTAGGTAAATAGTAGATATCTGGTAATTTTACTTCTAATGATCGTACAATTTTTTGAATCTAGAGTAAGAGCCAAAAATTTTAAGAGTAAAAAAAGATTTTGAAGCCCACATGTTTGATAAGATAAGTTTCTTGAAAGAAACGAAACCTGTATTTACTTGCTCATCTTATCAAAAGCTTAGGCTGAGAATAATTATCATTTGTGTTCATTTATGACAGGCATACGTGCATACAATTTTTATGTGCAGTAAAAAAACTATTTTGAAATTGAAAGTATAATTCATACCTTTCTGACTAATCGAGTCTTTGCAAGATTGTCTGTTAATGGATGAGTTGTCATATCGAACAAAAGAAAATTTTGTTTTTCTGTTGTCAATACTCCTTTTTCGACAAGATTTTTGGCAAGCCTTTCTCTCACATTTTTTAATTGGTAACGCAGCTTCAGAGGATTCCATGTTTCTCCTGAAATGAAAATATAGGAAATGATTAATCATTGTTGATAATGAAGAATTACAAATAGTAATCATTCAAGAGAATTGGATTGCATCATTACCGCTTAAATATTCTATCCAACTCTGAACAGTCTCTGGTGGATCTGTTTCTTTGAGATGTTTCAACGCTTCATCCAGCAGCACGTCTCCGGTTGGAGAACTATTTCTTAATAGTAATTTTCTTGTTAAAATACCTCTCTTTCTCATTCCAGCCTTTTCTAGTTCTACGCGTCCTCTCAGGCCCAATTCTGCCAATATGCATCCTCGCAAGCCCGAACTTATACAATCATTCCAGAACGAAGTGTAGCCCTGCGCAAGAAATAATAAATGCTTTTAATGGCGATCAAACACAATAGTAATGTTATGAGTGTGAGTCAATTAATTGGAATTCTACGGCATGAAAAGAAATGTTTATTCCATGGCAGTGCTTTGATAGCTTACATAACTTAATTTACAGTAGAATAGTTTTCAAAAGTAGCCTTATCAAATCGGCACAATAAAGCACGATATTTTACAAATCAAAATTTTCTAGAAAGGCCTGTGTACGCTCTAAAAAAAAATCTCATGCATCCATGCGTGTACAGAGAATCTGTCCAGATAAAGCGAACGAATTTCATCCTATCTCAGTAAAACAACGGAAACAAGCCCAGATAAGCGTTTCATCTCGCGCCTAGGAAGCTCTGCTGCTGGCTTTGTATACAAATGATTGATGTGTCTTTCAATGAAATAAAAGCCTACCTCTTTGTCTTTGAGACCGAGCAGCAGTACCTCCTCCATGAGGGTGAGCCTGGTCTCCTTGTCGCTGTCCTCGTCGACAGCTGGATTGGAGTTGAGATCCTTGAGGGAGCCCGAGTCGCCGTCGCCGGGGGACTGTCTGTCGCCCGACTGGCCCGAGGCCTCGTTGCCCGTGCCCTGCGACGAGCCGCCGCCGCTGCCACCGTCCTGGCTCGACGCGGTCGTGGCGCGTCGCCTCTGCACCAGGCCGTCGCCGCGATTCATCCTGGCCCTCTTGTATTATATAAAAATTGGGTCTCTGTAATATGTTCTCCACACACGCACACGCACACGCACACAGACACTCGCGAAATGTTGTACAACACACTAGTAGCACAGCAGTAGCCACGCACGTGCCTCAGCCCTTGTCCGGGCGATAACGACCCAGATGATGTTCTTTTGCACTGTGTCTCAACGATGACGAATCTCGGAGGATCTCATCGCAGACGACCACGCATCATATCTCGTATAATGCGTGTGTGTATGTATACCTTATTGTCGACTGTCGCGACTGCGACCAAGATGGCACAAAGTGATTGCACGCGCGCACCACGGACGGCGACGACGACACGACGACTTGTATGTGTGTTTTTCTTTTTTTCGCGAATCCGGTATCACTGCTGCTGACACGATGTGGCACCCGCAACTAGGCTATAAAGCGCCAGAGACACACAGCACAGCAACAGCAGGTAATATTACAAACTACACAGCACACACACAGACACACGTTATACACTACGGCAGCACACGCAGCGATCGAAGATTACAAGAGTCTCGCTGGCTGCGCGACTCCGATCGACTCGCTATTGAAAGTCGCTATGATGATGATGATGATCCGACAGACTCACTGACGTTCGTGTATATACACACGCAGAGTCGCGGCGGCCTCCGAATGGCACGCACACGCACTTATACAACGCAACAACAGTCGACACTACACAGCACAGCTCCCCGCAGAAAAGACCGTGGCGCAGGTAAAGCGAAGTATATATGGAGCTGCTGCTATAGGTAAAAACGTTAGCACGGCACTATCGCTCGCTGGCCTTTCCATATAGTCGCAGCTCTCTCCGCGCGACTGTAGTGTGGTCTCCTATACAACATATGCGTGCGTGTGTGTATATAGAATGACGGCAGTCTCGACAAATGCAGCTGTATGTGTATATATAGTTATAATAATATAATAATGGCAAACACGCGGCGATGTGCACGTCGTCGTCGTCGTTACAGTCGTTACGGTAATATAAGTCACGATCGTCGTGTATATTATATACTACTATTGAAAGTACTGTAATAATTTTTGTGGTCCGAGCTGCTCGTCTGCTGGCGTAACAACCACCGAGCGATAAGTTTTTTAATTACGGATCATTAATTTTGTCGAATTCCCGAAATCTTGGTGAATTCCGAATCGAGCTATGATAATGCGTGACGAAAAAAACTTAATTTGTATAAATATGCGCTAAAAAAGAATCGCCCGCGGCGAAACTTTCTCGACAAAAAATAAATATCACCGTTTGTGTGTATATAATTTGCTCGATCGCGATGGCTGCAGCAGCAACCGCAACGAACGACAACAAACGGGGTCGTCCGCTCGGCGCGAGCCTCGGAGTCGGTGGTTGCTTCACTTTTTCTTTTTTTGGTTTTATATAGATATATATTTAACTCGCAACGATGATATTCCATTGTAAGCTCTGTGATTTGTCTCGATAAGAGCGACGGCCGCTCATGGTTGTCAAAATTACATTCGACGGCAAGTGGCAACCGTGTGTTGATAAACGGTGTAAGCTCGATATCGCGCGATCGAATCGCAGAAATCTGACTTATCGACGATTACCACCTGCTAGCGCGCGAATTTTTGTCGTCTGCTCGGAGCGCCATCCCGTATCGGATCGAGGAATTTTAAAAGGTGGCGCTTTACACACTTGCTGTTGTAGAGTACATTGAAATGAATGAATGAACGTTATAGTAACGCACTGCAATAGAGGATCATAATTAAATGCTTTATTGTATATGGTAATGTCATAAAATTGAAAGTATTTAATAGACAATACAATCAAGTTGATCAAAGGCACATGAGAATATTATGAAATTATATGAAAATCGGTAAGTATTCTATTGGTGCATATTCTATATTCGATTTCACGAGTCAATTCTCATTCAAAAAAAATGAAAATTCAGCGAGCATCGAAGAAGAAAAAAATAGTTCGATTCGTTGATTCACGGGAAAAGTACTCGATGCAATCGGAATCAACAACGCGTCAAAGGCCTACTACCAATGTGAAAATCTTTTGACAAAAAAAAGTAGATCGAGCACATGAGCCAACACACAATATGGACAATTCGTTTACTTTACGAGTGCACGCAATTGCCCGCCTGCATAACGTCCTAGATTCACGGATTTATAAGCGCGCACACACACGCAGACATTTGAGAGAGTCCATTATTTTTTTTCTCATTGTAACATCATTTGCTGAATGTGCAATTCGTTTAACCATATAGGATTTAACGTGCTGCGTAAGACTCCGCACCCGGTCGTTGACGCTTTTCATTAGAGTCGTTTCGGCATGGGTGATCCAAAATCATTCGTTCTAATTGTACGTTACAACTATATTAACGGCAATCCTTTTCAAGAAAAAATTGTTAATGTTGCTTAATTTAAAAAAAGCTCTTTTTGGTAAGCTTTAAAATATTAATTGGAAATGTATTGAAAGATTTTCAACTGCTTTTTCGTTCAAAACCAGTGTCCTTATTGCAGAATTCAACTCGGATTTCAGGTATAAATCAAATTATCGAAACTCGTACGGTGGTAAATGACGATTTTTGGACTCAACTTACGCCGAGCCGTCCGCGAAACTGCAATACAACGACTATCGGTTTGAGAAACAAAAAAAAAAGGCGCTGAAGAGTTGGCGCATGCAAATGCGAGTGCGTCACAATTCTCGCTCGTAAATATATTTATTTTTATCATCGAAATTATGTTAATCACGCGCTCGCGCGCAAGGATAACGTGTAACCGATACGCGAAAAAACACAAATTAATTATAAGTCTTGTCGAGATTTTCGAATTCATTTATATACGACGTGACGCAATTTTATTTTAATTTACGGTTTTGTTGATAAAACACGCTTATAGTACTGGAAATATACAACAGGATATTTGTCATAATAGTTTTTATATTTTAACTAAGAGATTTTCAGATGAGTCTTTTGAATTCATTACGTCTGAGACTGTTTTAAACGTAGAGTAAAAGAGTTTCTATTCTTACTCAAATCGAGTCATTGATTTCATACAATTTGTCAATCTCTCGAGTAAAAGTATTAAATTCAATTACTTTATTATTCTAACTAATCTTGAAAGATGAATTCAAACCTTGAAAATAGTTTTCCTGATCCTGCACTTACCGATCTCTCGTAAAAATCGGCAATATATAATAAATCTCAGCTTTTGAATTATTTAACTGTACACGAATGTTTAAATTTACGTTACACACTGTTGCATTAGAGTACACAAAGCTCACATAATTATTAAAACAGACGATAGAAAAGATATTGACCGTTAAAAAAAATCAGAGTATATATCATTCGAGAAGCTGAAATGCCGTGTTATTAACTTCTGCGAACGCAAGCACCACAATAAATGATGGTTATTTGGCCCGCACAAGTGGCGCGTATATACACACGCGGGGCTAAGGTAAAGTTATTAAAACCGCAGCCGAGAGAACCAATCAAAGTTTAGAAAAATTCGATCATCGGCTTCGGCCTGTGCTCCATTTAATCATCAAGTCCAGAAGCCAATATCATCGCGCGCGGCACCACATCGTTACACATACATGTATACCTTCGGAGAGTGTAAGAGAATCCCGTTTTTCACAGCTGTAGTAGCAGCAGCAGCAGTACACGTGAACCGTTACGAATAGGCACGGGTGATTTTTTTTCGAGGGGTATGGGGAATGATAAAAATAAGATAAAAAAATCGAGCGATGATATACAATGGCAGAGCAAAGATCATGTGCCTCGTAATTTGTTGCGATAATGCCAACCCACGAAAGCAACTACTGTGCTGTGTACATATCTCTGTGAGCAGTTTACTATACTATTTAGACATTGAGTAAAAGTTAAAAATTCCTCTAAAAATTGTACGATTTGTGTAAATATTCCAAAACAATTCAGAATAGATGACTTATTTTTCAACCAGAATAAAGATGAAAATATTATTTGTAAGTAATTGTGATTCGCTTGCAGCGCTCTCGACAGAGACCCGATGCACGAAAGCGATTTCCGGAAGGGGTTGGCCAGGCCATTATTAAATTTCTTCATTGAATTTTTAATTTTAGTGCAATACAGCACACGTTGTCATTATATTTACGCTGAGTCACGTCGAGGGTAAGCAGGAAAAACACGACATCGGACATCGACAAGGACATCGAGTTTCTTCAAGTATCCCAATGCATGAAAGGAGAGAAAGGGAAAAGTTTCAAGAGATTTCGGCAGTTTAAGCGCGGAATTAGTTGTCGTATACTGGCGCAAAAATTCGGTAATAATTTACTTTTATTGGCGATCACTTCTCTATTTGCAGTCTGTCTGCGAATTCATCAAAATCGTTCACTATATCGCATGTGAGATCAAATTCGGAATCGCGATAATTGAGGTTTATCAAAAATAGCCAACTGAATCCTTGTCCCAATCACTGTTCCAAAAACAACATAGAAAAAGCTCTCAGCTGATTGTTGCATGAATAGTTAGCAATCAAATATCCTAAAAATGAACAGAGAGTGTAAGTAAGTGATTAGTAGTACGCGAAATCTGGTTCGAAAATAAAACACCATAACAATGGCGAACAAAAGTATTTAATATCAGGTAAGACTCAATCATTCCGGCACAATTTTTATTAAAATTATATGTAAGTATAATTACATATTTACAATTGTCAATCGTCATTTCACATTGTCACATATGCCTAATCTTTGCGATCTTCATGAATCATCAATTGGTGTCTGATCAAAGCAAATCCATGTCCAAATTTCTTTTCGCACTTGTCGCATGCAAAATCTTTACGACCTTCGTGGACTACTCTTTGATGTCTAGTCAAAACAGATTTTTCTCCAAATTTCTTGTCGCACCTGTCGCATGCAAAATCTTTCCGACCTTCGTGAACTGTTTTTTGATGTATCAACAAATATGATTTACTCCCTAATTTCTTTTTGCACTTATCGCATGCGAAATCTTTACGACCTTCGTGGACTGTTTTTTGATGTCTATTCAAAAAATATTTTTTTCCAAATTTCTTCTCGCATACGTCGCAAGCGAATTCTTCCCGACCTTCGTGGACAATTTTTTGATGTCTGAGCAATTGATATTTAAGTCCAAATTTCTTCTCGCATACGTCGCAAGCGAATTCTTCCCGACCTTCGTGGACAATTTTTTGATGTCTGAGCAATTGATATTCAAGTCCAAATTTCTGCTCACATTTTTCACATGCATAATCTTTACGACCTTCGTGAACTGTCTTTTGGTGTAAAAGTAAAATCCATTTGTGTGCAAATGTTTTATCGCATTTGTCACATACAAAATCTCTACGACCTTCATGGACTGTTTTTTGGTGAGTGCGCAAGTTCTGTTTATGCCCGAATTTCTTCTCGCATTTGTCACAAGCGTGATCTTTGCGACGTTCGTGTACTGTCTTTTGGTGCCGAAACAAATCTATTTTTAGTCCAAATTTCTTCTCGCATTTGTCGCATGCGTAATCTTTTTGACCTTCGTGGACTGATTTTTGGTGGTAAAGCATATGTGATTTACTAGTGAATTTTTTTTCACACTTGTCACATGCGTAATCTTTCCGACCTTCATGGACTGTTGTTATGTGTGTGAGCAAGTTCCATTTATTTACAAATTTCTTCTCGCACTTTTCGCATGTGTAATCTATTCGATTTTCGTGGTATATCTTTAGGTGGTTGATCAAATTACATTTTAGACCAAATTTCTTCTCACATTTGTTACATGTGTAATCTTTTCGAGCTTCATGGACTGTCAGTCGGTGCTTCAACAAATCTATTTTTCGTCCATATTTCTTTTTACACTTGTCGCATGCAAAATCTTTTCGGCCTTCGTGGATTGCTTTCAAGTGCAATAGCAAATTCAATTTATGTCCAAATTTTTTCTCGCATTTGCTGCATGCATAATCTTTTCGACCCTCATGAACTGTTGTTATGTGTATGAGCAAGTTACATTTATTTACAAATTGTTTCCCGCAATTGTCGCATGAGTAATCTTTGAGGACTTTAAGGGCCAAATCTTTCTGACTTTCGTGCACTGTCTTTATATGCAGGAGCAAACGATGCTTATTTCCGAATCTTTTGGCGCACCTCTCACATAAGTAATCTTTGAAAACGTCGTGGAATATCTTATTGTGCTTGAGTAAAGTTGATTTGTTCTCAAATTTCTTCTCGCACTTTTTGCACGTCAAGTTTTCGCCATTTTTATGTACTAGTTTTTGATGCACGAACAAACTCGATTTTTTCACAAATTTCTTTTCGCATCTGTCGCATACAAAATCTTTGGGGCTTCTGTGTTCTGATATTTGGTGTCTACTCAAATGACTTCGGAACTCAAATCTTTTTTCACACTTGTCGCAAGCGTAATTTTTTTGAACATTGTGAATTGTGTCTCGGTGTGCGATCATGCTTGATTCTAGTGCAAATGCCTCCTGGCAAATATAACAAACGTGTTGTTTGTCGTCAGAACAAATAATGTCTTGTTCACTTAAATTGTTGCTAGAGACAACTTCCTCAAATTTTTCCTCACTTTTATCCATATTGGTGTCTAACGTCAAAGTTGGGGCCTTCTATTTATTGACACAGAAATTAAACGAGTAAAATTTATCTGTTTGGTTTGTAGCTAGTTTGATCGGAAAATACAACATTGAAACAAATTTGTTTCCACTATTAACACGATCAGCGTCCGATGGAAAAATTGTTTATGATCATATTGTTTACAATTAAGTTTTCGATTTATCTGTTTATATTTAATTATAACATTTGGAATACATTTGAAATTCGAACTTGGCGACAATTTATTCGAAAAATTTTTTGGCCTTCTACAACGAAGACTCCAAAAAAACTCCCAAGAGAAAACATTGTGTTCCTTTAAAATCTAATATCTCAAGATGTACATTTTTAAGATTTTTTCAAATAGTCTAGTTCAAAAGAAGAGGAAAGTGTCCATCTAATTAGCTGTTTTCCAGAAGACAGTTTTTTGATTTTAGCTAAATATCTCGAGATATATGGCAAGACATTTCGCTAAATTCAAAAAATGGTCTTCTGAAAAGTTTCTTTTTCTTTCGAACTAGACTATTTAAAAAATCTAAAAAATGCACTTTTTGATACATTGAATTTGAAGGTTTCCCGGGTAAAATAAAAATTTTTCGAAAATCTAATCCGACCCTCGAAAGGCTGAGGTAATTTTCCATCAAAATGATACGTTAATTTTTTGTAATAAGTGCATAAGGTCTTTTACATCGAGTTAGAAATTATGAGATTTCACGTAATAATGCCGCGTGGGCGAGCCATTGGAGACTTGACGTGAAATGGCTCAAAGGTGTAAAGATAGTTGATATCAGGTATAACTCAATAGTTTACGCACAATTTTTATTCAAATTCTAGAAAAACATATTTACAATTATCTGTATATAATATTTAAAATTGTCAACGATGACTGTCTCTCACAATTGTTACGTATGTCACAAGGGTAGCGAATACCATGACACATGCCTAACCTTTCGGCTTTCATAAATTTTTGTCAAAATTTATTTTCACCCTTGTCGCATGCGTCATCCTTGCGACCGTCGTGTACGTTCTTTTGGTGGTAGAGCAGACTCAGTTTTTGTGCAAATTTCTTCTCACACTTGTCACACGTGAAATCTTTCCGACCTTCATGGAATGTCCTTTGGTGTCTAGTCAATGCTGATTTGTATCCAAATTTCTTTTCGCATTTGACACAAGCAAAATCTTGTCGGCCTCCATGGACTCTTCTTTGGTGTCTGATCAAATCGGATTTCATTCCAAATTTTTTCTCGCACTTGTCGCATGCAAAATCTTTACGACCTTCGTGAATTGTTTTTTGGTGCTCTATCATATGCCATTTTATCTCAAATTTTTTCTCGCATTTGTCACACGGGTAATCTTTGCGACCTTCATGGACTTTTTTTACGTGGATGAGAAAATTCCCTTTTTGTGTAAATTTCTTATCGCACTTGTGGCATGCGAAATCTTTTCGACCCTCGTGTACTGTCTTTTCGTGTAAAAGCAAAACCCCTTTGTATCCAAATTTTTTCTCGCACCTATCGCATGCGTAATCTTTGCGACCTTCATGGACTCTTCTTTGGTGTCTGATCAAATCGGATTTTATTCCAAATTTCTTCTGGCACTTGTCACATGTCAAATCTTCCCGATCTTCGTGGACAATTTTTTGATGTCTGAGCAATTGATATTTTAGTCCAAATTTCTTCTCGCACTTGTCGCATTGGTAATCTTTGCGACCTTCGTGTACTGTCATTTGGTGTCTAGCCAAATCTATTGATGTTCCAAATACCTTCTCGCACTTGTCGCATACGTAATCTTTGCAACCTTCATGGACTGTCTTTTGGTGAATTTTCAAATATCCGTTATTTCCAAATTTCTTCTCGCATTTGTCACATGCGTAATCTTTTCGAGCTTCGTGTACTGTTCTTTGATGGACAAACATTTGCTGTTTAAGTCCAAATTTCTTCTCACACTGGTCGCATGTGTAATCTTTGCGACCTTCGTGAACTGTCCTTAGATGTTTAAACATAGCTGATTTATATCCAAATTTTTTCTCGCATACGTCGCATACGTAATCTTTGCGACCCTCGTGAACTGTTTTTTGGTGTCTAGCTAATTTTGATTTTTCTCCATATTTCTTATCGCATTTATCGCATGCGTAATCTTTGCGACGTTCGTGTACTGTCTTTTGGTGCCGAAACAAATCTAGTTTTTGTCCAAATTTCTTCTCACACTGGTCGCATGTGTAATCTTTGTGACTTTCGTGTACTGTTCTTTTGTGCTTCAACAAATCTGATTTTCTTCCAAATTTGCTATCGCATTTGTCGCATGCATGATCTTTTCGACCCTCATGAACTGTTGTTATGTGTATGAGCAAGTTCCATTTATTTACAAATTGTTTCCCGCAATTGTCGCATGAGTAATCTTTGAGAACTTTGAAGGTAAAATCTTTTTGACCCTTATGGATCGTTTTTAAGTGCAAGTGCAAACTCCGTTTATTTCCAAATCTCTTCGCACACTTTTCACATAAGTAATCTCTAAAAACTTCGTGGAATATTTTTTTGTGCTTGAGTAAAGTTGATTTATTTTCAAATTTTCTCTCACACTTGTTGCATGTGAAATCTTTACTATCTTTGTGTGCTAATTTTTGGTGAGTAAACAAACTCGATTTTTTCGCAAATTTCTTTTGGCATCCGTCGCATGCAAAATCTTTGCGGTCTTTGTGCACTAATATTTGATGTCTACTCAAATGACTTCGGAACTCAAATTTCTGTTCGCACTTGTCGCAAGCATATTCTTTTTGTTCATTGTGAATTGCTTTTCGGTGTGCGATCATGCTTGATTCTAGAGTAAATGCCTCCTTGCAAATATCACAAACGTATCGTCTGTCGTCAGAAAAAACAATGTCTTGTTCACTTGAATTATCAATGAAGACAACTTCATTGAATTTTTCCTCATTTTTATCCATTTTGATGTCAAAATTAAACGATGGATCTTTCTACTTAATGCCACGTAAATTGAACGAGTAAAATTTATCTATTTACTGTTATAGCTTGTTTCATCGCAAAGACAGCATTGAAACTAATTTGTTTTTATTATAAACACGATCAGTGTTCGATGGGCGATGTGAAATTTATTCGTGATCATATTGTTTACAATTAAGTTTTCGATTTATTTGTTTATACTTGCAACATTTGAAATAATTTAAAATTCTAAGTTGGTGACGATTCCATCGATGAATTATTTGACCTTCTGAAACCAAGACCAAAAAAAACTTCCGACAGACAACATTGAGTTCCCACAAATTCAGACAAAAAACATCCAGTAAAAATCGACCGGCAGATAGTGACCGATAATAGGTGCTACTTTTTAAACTTGTGCCCTTGAAAAGTCTGAAAAATACATCGATAACAAGATCAAAAAAACGTAATATTACGCTGATTAGCGTAGCGATATATTTAAAAGTACATATCGATTTGTAACAAATTTTCGTTTATTTTTTAACTTATGTGTGCCATTACTAAAAGGTGATAGTTTGGTACTGATCAAATCTTCGGATGTGCAAATATTTTGATTTTTGGGTGAATATGTTTTAACCCGAAGTATTGTCCATATTTCGTACAGTCTAGATTTTTATATCTACTAGTGGCACTCGTGTCATTATTTTTTATGTATTCTATGAGTTTCAAAAATTTATCCCTTCCATTGGCATAAGTTTAAAAATCAACACACGAAGCTAAAATTTGTCACAAATCGATATGTACTTTTAAATATATCGCCACGCTAATTCGGCGTAATATTCCGTTTTTTGAGCTTGTTATCGATGTATCTTTCAGACTTTTCAAGGGCATAAGTTTAAAAATCAGTACCGATTATCTGACGATCTATAAATAGATCCTCGTGCACGTGTATAATAAAAAATTGTATCATCTTTTTAAAATTTGCCGCCCCTGCACCATTGCGCAATTGGCATGCTCCATAAAACCACTGCACAGCAAAACAGCGTTCGGCGGTAGAGGAAGAAAGTTTCGCCAACGAATAATAGTAGTCGCGAAATCACCAATCAACCATCCCAATTCGAGAGATGCATTAACTCTCCAATGCAGACCTGAATTTTTGTCGACGAGCAAGTGTTTACAAATTATATTAGATATCCGCAGAAGAGAATAAGACAAATCTTGGTACGGTGTTGGGTACCCGAGATATATAACCTCCAAATTTGTTTCATTGTGTATCGTGAAGATTTTTAGTGATTATACATAAACGAAGAAGTGATGGAAAGCAATAGTGGCGTAGTTAGGTAAATATTGCTTGTTTGTAATGCTGCCGCGGTCATTTTTAAGCGATTTCTCATTAAATTCTATTTTCATTCAGGGTGAAAGAAGAGCCAAGCGAAACTTTGGCGATCGCAGGCGATGAGTACGTTTTCGACTCGCTGCACAACCATATAAAAATCGAAAACTATGAACCATTGCCGTTCCATGAAATATCGGTAAGTTTAGAGATTTGAATTATGTACTGTTGATCCACTATAAAAAATGAATTCATTATCTTAATTGTAGGCAAAATCCGAGAATAAAGATGTGCCGTTACAGGAGAGGTTAGATAAAAAAATATTGATCGATTTTGAGTGCAAAAATGTCAAACTTGAACGACCTAATGTGAAAAAAGAAAACCAAAATTCGACTAATTACACCAATGAAAAAAGTTTAATAATTTTGATAAAAAAAGGATTCAATTATGATGATAATTGTCAAATGAATGTCAACTCTCGTATAGAACTTGACAAATATGAGAAACTAAAAAATTTCGGAAAAACTATTGTACAAAAAATACGTGATTCAAACATATGTCAAAAAACTCATAAATCAAGAGCAAGTCCAAAAAATCATACGCAAACGATACTTCAAATAACTAGACCTAATGAACGTGATATTTATAACGAATCATTATCCTGCAAAAGTGGCCACAAAATTTATTTGAATGCGGTACAAGATCGTATCAAGCCCTTTGCGTGTGAGATTTGTCACAAATCATTTGGACAAAAAAGGGACCTCAAAGGTCACATGAATGCTGTACATAATCTGAGCAAACCCTTTGAATGTGACATTTGTCATAAATCATTTGGACAAAAAAGGAACCTCAATAAACACATAAATGCAGTACATAATCGGAGAAAACCCTTCGAGTGTGAGATTTGTCACAAATCATTTGGATATCAGAATGTACTGAAAAATCACGTTATAACAGTACATGGTCAGAGCAAACCCTTTGAATGTGAGATTTGTCACAAATCATTCGGCATAAAAGGTAATCTCTATAGGCACATAAATTCAGTACATAATCGGAGCAAACCCTTTGAATGTGAGGTTTGTTACAAATCATTTGGACAGAAACAAATCCTCAAACGTCATATAAGTGCAGTACATGATCGGAGCAAACCCTTTGAATGTGAGGTTTGTCACAAATCATTTGGACAAAAGACTACTCTCAAAACTCACATAATGACAATACATGATCGGAGCAAACCCTTCGAATGTGAAATTTGCCATAAATCATTTAGACGGAAAGATTACCTCAATTTTCACATAAATTCAGTACATAATCGTAGCAATTCCTAAGAGTGTGACATTTGTCACCAATCATTTGAATTTAAAAGTAACCTCAAATCTCACATCGAAGCAATGCACGATCACAGCAAATCTTTCGAATGTAAGATCTGTCACAAATCATTTGGACTAAAATGTTACCTGAAACGTCACGTGAATGTAGTACATGATCGTATCAAACTATTTGAATGTGAGATTTGTCACAAATCATGCGAAAAAAAAGGTTATCTCAATACTCACATAAATAAATTTCACAATTGAATCAAACATTTTCATATGTGAGATTTATTTCGAAACTCTTGCACACAAAAAATATATTCAAATTAGTATCATAATTATTAACAAATGTTGACATAAATATTCTTTAATTGCATAAAAAAACTTTCAAGTATTTTATTTAAGAGTTTATTTTCATTGTAAATCTTTTGAATACAAAATAATATATTAACTAACTCATTATGGACATATTCTAATTAAACCTTTTTAATCTATTCCAAATCCTGTCCGAATGCCCAATCTCTAAAGTGATTCAAAAAATCCTGAACAAAATCTCACAATTTTTTATTTTATTTTTATTTCTGAAACATTTTTCGTCCGTTAGGTGAAAAATAATTGTGCACTGCTAGTTTCACATTCATTTAAGATAATACTTTTTAAATGTTATTCAAAATATACAAAAAGTGTTTTGATTACAGTAAACATTGAAGCGTTGTCATGCGCGCACACTTGAGAGATGAATCGATCTAGACATCTTCAAAATTGTGTAAGGGTTTGGATTTTTTGTTGGTAGCCACGTCGACGAATAAACAGAAAAGCAGGTAAATAAAGCACAACAAATTAATAAGGATTTAAAAAACAATATAATAGACAGATGAAAAATTCGCTGAACAGCATTTTCGCTCGGTCTTGTAAAAATACATTCAACAGCAGAGAAGGAATGATACGTTAGACAAGTCGTGAGCGCAGTTAGGTAAATAGAGCTCGTATAAAATGCGATACCGGTAATGCACTTGCACTACCATAACGTTATGCGTGTCCCGGTATGTGGGATCGTTTCTGATTTGATAATGGTATTCTATTTCAGGTGATTTAAAATTGTATCACATCGTGTCTATATGCAACCGATTATCGAATAAAAATCGGCATGAAAATCGAGAACTCGCATAGATCTAAATTTCCTCTAGTCGTCAAACGTCCCAATCAACACCGATAGCCGAGCGATTATTAACGATCTCCCAGTCATCACGCTCGATCCACCGTTAATTATGTCACAATTACAACAATTACGAGTCACACACTTGCTGCCGCTGCTGCTGCAATTACGAATTACTATACACTCGGCATCGATTGCATTATGCATACAACGCGGTTTCTCCCGGCGACCGCACGCGAGGATTAGGCATAATAAATAAGGACAAACCTCGCGGCTAGAGAGAGAGAGGGAGAGACTACTTTCGTCCGACATACCTCGAGGAGAGTCGCTTTCTAACGACGAGATATAAACAAAAAACGCCACAGTTTAAGCGCGGCGTTTCATCGTCGTCATCATCATGGGTATATACATAATGTTTAAATCTCGGCGGTGTACACCCTTTCTCCGATTAATTATCTCTCTCTCGCTTTTGGCTTTCCGCGTTGATAGATAGCGCGTGGCAGAAAACGATCATCGCTTTATAACGTCAAAGCGAAGATGTGCAGCTCGCGCGTAAGAAAGTTCGTTGGCGCATCATCGCTTATATTCTTTATATGCAGGCGCGTACATCCTATATGGTTTTCTCGTATTATTATACAGCAGCAGCAGCAGCAGGTATACAAACTTATAACGTATAGTAAGGCCTCTCCTCCGATACGTATGTGTGTGTGCATGCGTTTTAAACGTGTATAATAGTAGCCAAGTAGGTGAACGCGGTGAGTATATACAGTATAACGCACACACACGTACACGTACACATACACCTGGGCATAGCCCGCGAGTGGGGGACACCTGTGCGCAGACACTGAGAGAGAGAGAGACCGGTCGCGCGGAGTCTCGGGGGCTTCGCGCGCGCGGATATTACACCGAGTTCGCAGTCGTCGTTCGCGCATCCAGCCGCGCGCCCGCGTCTCTCGGCTGTATTTTGTATCATATTTGCGCGAGTTTGCCAGTTCTTTCGAGTGCAGCGTAATAAAATCACATCGTAATTTTTTTTATTCTTTTTTTTCTTCAAAGCATTTATTTATAAAAAGAAAGATCGAAGCAGTGTGACAACGTTGATATCGAGTGAATGCCTCCTCTCGTTTCAAGGGGGAGAGAAGTTGCAGTGCGATTGTGTATTGTGGAGTTGTGAATAAATAGTTTGTATGTATACATAAAAAATTTACGTATAATAAAATTTGTGCCAATTGTGTATCCGTAAACGCGTGCGAGCACTCGTGACAGACGGCGTGCACCAAGAAACATGTGATTAGACGCACAAAAGGGTGGCGTGTGGCAGTTATTTTTTGGTTACGAACGACAATCAGCGGCATAAGCGCGTACGACACTAGGTGAGCTTAAATTCCCTTTTTTTATCGATCCTCGAATCCTCGTTGTCATATCCTCAACCGATACATTGCTTTAACCCCCTGCATGTATACAATATTATCTCGCGCTTACACCTAAGCGTTCAAGCTCGCGAGTTAAAGACTATGAAGAGAGAAAGAGTTGTTGATCCATAAGGAGCACACACGTTCACATATAGAATACACACACGTGCGTTCGTCTCTGATAAGCTTCGCGAGTTAAAAGAACGGATATACGTAAGACGACAAGGCCATACAGTCGCGAGAGAGGCGTCTCTGCTGTATGTGCCTCTCGATCGCTCGAACTCGTTCTTTTTCTCTCTCGCTCTCTCGTCTCTTATTCGATAAATATCAACGCTCTCGCGCGCGAGCAGTTCTTGTTTGCATGGTGCAGCAGCAGCAGCAGGGCAATGTGCAAAAGAAAAGAGTCCGAGGCGATCGCTCGAGCCGGACACACACACACGTACACATTCACAAAGAAACTCGACCTTTACATAGAGAGAGAGTACTTACGGATTGATCGGCATGTAAATGCGCGCGAGCTGCACTTCTCTCTCTCTCTCTCTCTCTCTCTCTCTCGCGAGATTTGCATATGGTATTTGCACGTGTGCAGCTCGAGTGCCATACAGCAGAGAGCTTCTCAATCATTCTCTCTCTCTCTCTCTCCTTTTTTCCCTTCATTTTAATTTGTCCTTTTCATCGGCAAGATTGATATTATTATATCTCGTTGCTGACTGCGCTAAGTGCACATCTTATACCGCTGCGATATTTTATCTCTTTCTCTCGGCTGTCTTTCTCTCACTCGCGTATATATACATTATCTATAAAACCGAGGCACGCGCAGTATTATAGTTTTCTTTTATAGAAATCCCGAAGGCGTTTTTTGCCCTCGCGCCCGAGCTCCAAGACAGTGCACAGCAGCAGCAACAGCCTTGCAGCCTCTCGCGGGGCTCTCTCTCTCTCCATATAATGCGGCTACACTTGTCCTTTTATACGTATTTACCTTCCTTTTTTTCATTCCCTCTCTCCCTTTTCCGGCTAATTTTCTTTCTCTCTCTCTCACTCGCGATCGGGCGAAGCTCTCGCATTACACACACAACTCAACACACAGATACAACATAAACAGGCAACGGGCGCGTAAAACTGAATCTCATTATAAAGGCGAGCAGGTGTAGCACCTGTGCACTCGTCTATATAATATATCCTGTATAATATATAACGTGTATAAACGCTCCGCGTCTACGATGACGCGATTTTCTCGCGGGGCTGCTGCTGCCGCTGCGGCATGACTCGATCGTGTGTGCCCCGCGCGATGTAATATGTCTCGGGCACGCGCTCACCTGCAGTAGTAGTAGTGGTAGTAGTAAGCCTATATAAATGTATTACAGATTTATAATGCAGCCACGCGTGCCACAGGGATACAAAACGATTTCTTTGATATTATTATCGAAGCTTATAACGCTTAGCCCGAGAGTACGGTCGAACGATCCAATATAGCAAAGTGTAACACTCCGCAACACGTGTGCATAGTATGCCAAGCTCTGCAAGATTAATTCGAATATCGGTGAGGCCTGTGCTCGCGCGCTCGATATCAAGTATCATATCGTTCGCGATTAAATTGAAAAAGCTCATCTCGTTTTATTACGTTCGCGCGCGTGTATGGTGTATCGCTCGAACGGCGAGACTTTTAACGCCGGGGCGGAAATTAACGATGTATATACCGCGCATAATTTGCGTATCGCGTGCGCTTTATACGCAGGTATA